AGAAACTTCTTCTTTCGATTTCTCTGGCTCGTCTTGTCAAGTAGTAGGCGTGATTTGAACTGAGATATGAATCCTATCTCACATGGTGGAATTGATCGGAGTCTGCATTTAAATATCCGGAGCAATTATGAATATTGATAGTCTCTCGTGGTACATGGATACGTCGAATATTCCACATTGCCTCTTGGAAATAAATATGTATATCTTCTTCGAACATTTCAAACGGCACTACTAACGTAGTGTTTATCACCGTATAGACCAGAGGGAAGAGGCGTATTCTAGGATTGGGCAAATTTATTGTTGTGTACATTGCTTAGTAGGGATAAGCTGAACAGTTTCAATATAACTGATGCTCTGTTGTTAGTTTTTTTACCTTTGCTGGAAACATGATGATGGAATTTCAAAGTTAGGTTGATTATGACGTCTTGATCTTGGATGAATGAGGAGAGAGCTAATTCTTGGTTCTGAATGTTGGGGGATTATTAGGATTGTTCTTATCAATTCTAATCAATTTCGTTTGTTCTGAAGCTAGCAGATAAAGCCGATATAATGACTAATGGTGATTATATATAGTTTGTAAATTGTTGGAAAACGTATTGAGTCTGGAAAGACCATAACATCACCTGCGAAAACGACGCGTATTGAGTCTGGAAAAAGACACTCTGGAAGTCCTCTAATAAGAATAATAAAGTGAAGGGTTTCCAGAACGGAACCTTGAGGAACACCGCTGCTGGTGTGTTCTGATGAAGTGAATGAATCACCAACTTGGATTGATTGAAAATGGTTCATAAAAAAGTCTCGGATCCAATTGGACAGACAACCTCGTATGCCATATGCTTGTAATTTTAAGGATAATTTAGGTATAGAGACCAAATGAAACGCTTTTTTATAATCGAAATATGTGGTGTCGATGTAGCCTCCCTCGTCTAAATGAGATACCCAATTTTGCTAGGATCGTAGTGAATGATTGATGTTCTGTCGAGAAAGCCACGCTAGAAAGGAGAAAACAACTCATTCATTGTTAAATGCTTTGTCAGTTTGGCTGCAGTTAGCAGGTTAATAAAATGAGTAGGTAGTTTGATGGATTCATTACTTTTTTTTTCAATTTATAAGGTATGATGATCGCTGATTTGCATCTTAAGGTGACTGAACCAACCGATACAATCAAAACGATCCAGAATTTTAGATGAAATGCTCAGCGTGTGAATGATCTTTAGAAGGGAACGAGAAAGTGTAATGTGGGTTGCTGCCAGCTGATTGCTTTTGAGTTTTGAGTTTTGTTGTCGTCGCTTGGTTATTGTTGAAGTTTGTTTTTGTTGATGGTTCGTGTGTATCGTTGAAGTGCTTTTTGTTGCTGAAGGATATTTTTGATTGCTTGCGTTATGAGATTTTTTCCAAACGAATCAGCAGCTTGATCGCAATTATTAAAGGAAAAGATAACGATTAGCGGAACAATTTTGATGAGCAGCGTTTCAGCGAAAATTATCGCTACTTTTTTCGGTTAGCGGCACTTTTAGCGAACATTTTTCGCTAATTTTCCGTCAGTGTCGCTAATAGCGATTTATATTCAGCGGAATAAAAATATTTTTTAGCGAAATAGCGCAGCCACTTCTTTTAGTAGTGTGCTCACCACTGAGTAGAACAATACCTGATGCTATACAATTTGAGAAATGATAACTGCCGATCGAGAATTAGAGCCTAATTGTCACACGTTATCAAAGTGCTAAGCTCCAATTAAGTTGTAGACTCACTTTCCACGGCGCAGACAATGATATTTTTGTTTCGAATCCAATATTGTATCGTATTACGCTTCAAAATTCGTTTGTAAACGGATTTATTGAATGCGCGTGAACATCTTCAGGGATTTATTTTTGTTGCTTTTAAATTAGTTGCAATGCATTTATAGCTGCATTTTAGCAAACAGTATGTTCTATTAGCAGTGGAATGACATTAGCTCCATCATTTTAAATAACCTACCTGGCTTTCTTCAGAGGCGGCCGAATTTCACAAAGAATATGGAAATCAATCATTTCAGATCAAGTAAATCTGAAAAAGCCCTGTGAAATCTGAGAAATCAGAAAAGACTTGTACAAAACGATCATTTTTGATTTTTGCGCATTTTTAGATCATTGTTTTAGAAATTTTACTGTCGTGTTTTCCCTGCCCATCCCTCTAAATTCCTCTCTGAGATGAACACTTCTCGTATACGGATAGATCAATGAGAAATGAATTAATTTTTTTGCAAATTCAACTCGAATTCTAATTGTGCTGCGAGAACGAGTGCTTTTTATAACGACTCTCAACGCTTCCCACTTTTGTTTCGTCACTGCTGCGCTATCTCTTCAGCTCTTATTAACTGGCGTTCTCTATCTTAATTAAATTAAATCTTGTGCACACATGATGAGATAAACAGCAGCAGATTGCTAAGCACCATATAATGTTCAGATAAACTGCTACTACTTCATCACATCTGTATCCACTCGATTTTTGATTTCTCAAACACATTAATGAGAAAACAAAAACGCTTTGTGGTGGTCACATAAATGAGTGAGTGATCTAACTCACGCATTACAAATCACAATAACATAGCGTCGTTCACTGATCACGTTCAACTTTATTTCGATTTGCTATTCCAATTTCTTCTAACAATTATTGCTCTGCCAGTAGTTTCTCTTATCTTAATAGATTTTTCGCAGTCTATTTTTGGGGAAGTGAACGTGATTTTTAGCTGTAAACCGTTTTTCTTGTCTCTGCTTCTCGCTTTCATTCGCATTATATTTAGGTGCATCATCATCTGTAAGTTTTCATTGCTTAAGTTGCTCGATTTTTTAAACTTCACTAAGTGAACATTAGAAATGTCTGCAACAACACATATTCTCAATTCTGAAATTGAGATCATTAAGTACTTCAACACAGTCAAGTTCAGTGGACATTCTTTTTTCCGTAAATACATTCAACCGCTTCACGAATGAGAATGCTTGAAAAAGCGGTCAACAGCAGCATGTTGATATCAATAACGTCCTGTTGTTGGCCACTCTAGCCTTTTCACTACAATTGTTCCATCGACACTAACACTTCAAACGACACGTTCAGATCACCTTGTTGTTGGTGTATGTGGCTAGATGATACCGACAGAAATAAAGAGAGAGCAAAGCGGAACCCATTATTATTATCACCGTCGTATTTTATCAGCATCCTCTTGTGCTATTCATGTTGCATGTAGCGTTCTATGCGAACGCAAGCTATTTTTCACAGGTCACGCTCGAAGCGCACAACAATTTCATCAGTAGGCAATTCGTTTTTCTCATCCGTTTCAATATGCTACCAAATTTGTTGACAACGGAATATTACAACCTGAGTATGAAAAGAAAAAAACGAGACACACATCAAAGTATACGATGTTTCAAGCTGCTACAATTTAAGCTCGTACTCATCACCGGTTGAGTGATACACAACTGTGATATTAACTCATATGATAAAAAGTGTTTCATATGTTGTTGTCACTGTAGTTTATACCTTCATTCGAATCATTTGATTGAAAACAGATTTATTTATTAGAAGCGATATATCCAGAAAATTGAAAATTTTAAAGAAAAAATAATTCATTTCAAGGTGAATAATTCTGCCAATTCGAAAAATATGCCACAAAATGAAAGCAAAAGTGAAGATTACGAAACTCGAGTCTATCAAACCATCACCACCCACTGAACCATGACGACCGATTTTAAATTGCTTTACGGCAATGCTTTAAGAGACTAACTGATTTAGACTCATTTATTTTCCTCGGAAGGACATAGGGCAGAGAAATAAAAAGTGATTGTTAATCATCACGATGAACCTTATAGTCTGATATAGGTCTCGTTTGGAATCTCCATAATGTTTCGTGCCGTTCCGTTGTAGATATGTAATGTTGTCTAATTCGAGCCTTTTCATCTTCCATTCAAATTTCTGGCAATAAGCAAATATTGCGGTCACTATGATGAATAACCTCCGTGAATTTGCATTCGACGGCTGTCATGAATAAATGTGGTCATTTTCACGCATGTCGTTTTATGATTGAAATTCTGTGACAGCAATTTTGATAGATGACTAGAGAAGTTTGAAGCGGAAAAGAAATGCAGCAAACATGCGTGGAACGTTAATAAAATATCGATAAAATGTCAGCTATTACCGCGTTGCCAGGTAAAACGGAATAGAAAAGAATCATACATAATGGTTGACAATTTCGTCTTAAAATGTCAAATGCACTCTCGATTTTCAGGTGATTCCATCATCTTGAATACTCAAAACTATCCAATCAACAAATGAACTATTGAGGAAAAAGAATAATGATATCGAATAAACGATCGATTAATGTCGTTCGAGAAAACAGAAATTACTGCCGAATAGTACAGCGTTTTGTAACACAGAAAGGATGCATCATTGTATATTTTGTGCGAGAGTTGCAATTTTGCAAATTTTCGATCGAGACTGTGAGCACCTCGCTGGTTGAGATTGTTGTCATTGTCGAGACTATTGTCGTCACTGAACTCAAAATTTAATTCATAAATCCAGCTGAACATATTTGTTTCATCGTCCACAGACCAATACTTTATTCATTTCAGCAGAGCTCTGTGCTTAACCATTTTGATTCTTTGACATTTTCTTTTTTTCTCAGAGATTCATGTTAAAATCAACTAAATGATGTATTACAATTTTGATTTCTATTATGATTGGCATTGTAAACACAAACACATGTATACAATCTTCTGTTGAACATCACTATCTGATAATGTCATTCTATTCGCAAAATTGCACTCCGATTCACAGATAGATTCTTCGAGATGTTACTTTATTGTTCACGTGTTATCACTGTGTATTGCCAAGTTGATACCATCTTGCGAACATTCTCCGTTGAACGGATGGAACGACAAAAGTTTGTTATTGTTAAAAGGAAGCGACGTTGTTTATGATTATTGCTGAGATACGACAGTTCGGTCTATTGTTAACGTGTTGAAGGGATGGAAGGTGAGGTGGCCGAGCTGAAGTCAAATGCGGACAATTTAGCGCAATGTCTGCATGCGCTCCTCAAACGGATTGAACAACTGGAAGGCTCAGCAGCGATACCGAAGCTTGATACATCTTACAGAATACGTCAATCAGCATCTCCACCAGAGAGCGTTAATGAAGCAATCGATGGACTTCTCAAAACATCTCAAAAAGAGGAACATGAGTCGTCCGTTGATGCACCAGATCCTGACGTACAGGTTCGATAACTTTCATTATCAATGTCTGAACATTGTCTCGTCTTAATTACCGATTTGATTCGGTGAAGAGTTGAAAATACTAAAGAACACTGTCTTTGCTGCAAAGAAACACTCAAAGAAACTTGAACGCGCATTTGTACATTACTGCTAAAAATTGATCATACCAAAACGTGGTGGTCGTTGCGGATGAAGGTTTGCGAAAATTTTTAATCGTAGAATGAAACTCATTCCTGTGATACTATACGAATATTACATGTGATATCAGTATTATGATGTGGATGATAAAAATGGTACTTTGATGTGAATGTAGAGCACAGATTTAACAACAGCTGCTCATATCTCACCCAACTTGACTGTTAATAACTCTTCAATTGAACACACGTCTAGTTATTTTTAGAGCCGGCGTTGTAAATTCATGTTTTTTTTATCTAACTATATCCTATGCACTGTAAACAGCACAATGAAAAACAAAAACATTCGTCGAAACTCGTTGAGTTAAGCGACGTGTAATTGACAACGTGTTCTTTAACCATCACATTCGTCGATTGCTGCTTAATTGTTTCACTCATTCACTTACATTCTCATCATTTATGGCTTTATGTCCAACTGTATTAATGTGTTTGTTCTCATTAGCAGAACTACAGATTATAATTTTTAGTTTTGCTATAATCAATTACTAGAATGACGATTGTCAGGAATGTCGTCATTATTTCAAATATCATCGGAGATCGTTTAGAATCATTGAAATCGTAATCATTTAGACAGCACATTTTCAAGTCAGTATCGTTAGAACAAGAATTTCCATGCTGATTGTGATGAAATAAATGTGCCAAATTTGTTGCTAACAGAGTCGGCCAGTGCACTGAACAATTGCGATCTTAATCAGAATGTAGCTGATCATTTGCTGCACCTGTTTATTGATTCGAAGAATACGTTTAAAAGATTGCTTCTTTGTGCACTCTGAATTCGAGCGAAAGTTTAGCTGACTGATAGTAAGTGTAGGAGAGATGCAGGTAGTACGCAATGAGACGATATCGGTCGATCCGGAGACGGGTCTCAAGAAGAGAACGGTTGTGACCGAGCGAGTGCTAACCACCAAAACCTTCCATGCGATCGCAGTTGATGGTGAACCACTAGTGAACGGGCATCTACTTGCATCTGCGTATGAAGCACGACTGGTCACTCTGCAACGTTCACCGTTCGAAGAAGTCGACTTCGATCGACTCTGCGGTCAAATTGTAGTCACTCGTGTACGACCAGATTCTGAACTATCAAAGGTTTGTTCGTTGAGCCACAATGTTACTCGATAAGCAACAATCACAAGTTTGAATTAGTTGAGTTCATCAATTCATTACCTTTTTATCTTCATCGCTCAAACACTTCAGTTGTGACGTGAAAATTGTCAAATTCAATTGCAGTGTTAGATATGTGATACACAATCAGTAGTTAATTCATTCGACGTTCGATCAAATTGTTCGATAGTTTTATGACGAAGAAAGCCATCTCTCCGTTTAGTTGTGTACACTTTATTAGCCGATCGCAAATCTGGTTAGCAGACTTGCAGAATGCATATTCTGTTTGGTGTAAATTGAAAACCAGATTGTTAGTCGGCGAACTGACAATATGACATATATGTGTAGTTTATCAAACAGTTAGTTTATTGAGATTAAATGGTTATATCGTAGTGATAAACGTTCTATGATTCAGGATATTCATGCAGGCGATACGATCGTAGAGGTGAATGGAGAGCCAGTTTCGGACGTCAAGAACCTGAATTCCCTTGAGGGCCCAGTTTCGCTAAAGCTCGTTCCAACACCACTCTATCAAGCACCATCTGTGAGTTCAATTTTAGGGATTTTTTCCTTCTCTCGATTCAATTCATTGGACGCACCAATAAAAATTGTTATCATTTTTAGTAATGAGCACATTGCAGCCGGTAGTCAGTATGTTGATCACATAGCGACACTTTAAAATGATTAAATGATTAATGCATCACAAGATTTCAGTTACTAGCAAATTCGTCTTCATTGGTGACGTTTTGACTTATGTGAACTCGCATTTCATTTCCCAAGAATTTTCAGAATGTCTTTTGCTGATGGAAGAGTTTTGAATACGGTTTCAAAAAAAAAACAGTTTGAAAATTGCAAATGTTCGCGTGAAGTAAGTGATGGGAGTATGGAACTGAATTAGCAAGGAAGACAATTGAATATACAGTTGATCACCAGTGAAATGGAACTAACTGATCTAGTATAACTTATATTAATAATAACAAGTAGTACTTAAGCTTTTAGCCAACACATTCAAACTTCGTGAATGAAGCGTATTTGTATTTGTTGTTAATAGAACGCTTCAATTGAAACAGCTATTGTGATGATTATGGACGTGGATGATACGTGCTTCATAATGACTTGCTTCTTCATCACTGATCTAAATTTTGATGGGCAATATTCAAAATTTTTATTCCCAATACATTTATTCAATGTTTGCCTTTCTTCTGTCCTCGGTTCATCAAGTCAACTCTCTACTGGATGAAATGACCAACTGCAGGTTTTCTACCGAGCTCTGACTGACTATAACTCAGAAGTCGATGAGAATCTTCCACAAAAGTGGGCTGGACTAAATGTGAAGAAAGGTGAAATTATTCAAGTGATTAGCAAAGACGACAGTTGGATGCAGGTATTTGACTGATCAGCGATAAATGACTTTACCACCTTTTTACGCATGTTCTTTTGTTAGCGATGAGAAAATCAGTAGAAAAAAAAATGAATTCAGAAATGTGTACATTAATGATATCCGTGAAATAGTGCGCTGATGTGAAGCATGCTGTCATGTGAACGATTTGCTCGTTACAACATTTGATTTCATTTCCAATCATATTAAATTTCGTTCTCGTGCGTATGGATCGGCGCTCCTCCTTGAAGCTAACTAACAATAAGTATATTGCTGACAAACACTCAATGAATAAACGTTAATGTGTCGAAAGAGAACAAAAAGTATAAGATGATAATAACTTGTGCAATGAGTTTTATAATGGAATAATTCCACGTTTTTTTTTCCCGAAGGAATCGTTTTGATTTTTCCTCGTGCATTTCTATGGAATGGTTTGTTTGAGTAATACAATTATTGAAATTGATGTGCGATCGTTGAAGGCACGTAAAGTGAACGACATTTCACGAGTGGGTTTGGTACCAGCGAACCAACCGATTGAACGGGTTGGTATGCTCACTCCGTATGGACGTCGAGTACTGGTGCTGCTTGGAGTACCTGGTGTTGGTAGACGAACGATTAAGTCGATGCTTCTTTCACAATTACCACAATACTTTGCCACCGTTGCTCCATGTCAGCTCTTCATTTATTTCGTTTTCATTTATTGTTTTTATGTAATCGCTGACGTGCAGCTCTCAATCAACTTCAATCTGATCTATGACTTCAGTCACATCTCGTGCACCAAAGAGCGGTGAACAAGAGGGCCGAGAGTATTACTTCCGTACAAAAGAAGAACTACTTCAAAAGATTCGTGCAGGTGATATGATCGAATGGGGTGAACTCGATAATCATATTTATGGAACAAGGTGATTTGTGCCATCTGCAATAATAACGAATATTTTGGTTGCTTGCTTGCTTGTGTTAATAATTGCTCAAGTGCAGATTCGTAGAATGTGTTATTTCAGTGCTGAAACAGTACGCGCATGTGTACGTGGTGGACGTGTGTGTGTGTTGGATTGTGCACCGCAGGCACTGAACTATTTATATAACGGTGAATTTATGCCATTCGTGGTCGTTATCGCACCGCCAGAGTTGGAAGAGTTACGTCAAATTAATTCGTTGAGATCGAATCCTCGAACTGAAGAGCAAATGAAGACAACCATTGAAGAAAATAAAAAGCTTATGTCGCGTGAATATGCGAAAATGTTCCATTTAGTAATAACAAACAGGAATACTGACGTCACATTCAAGAGGTTTGCATTTTTGCCGTTCACGCTCTAGTCCAAAAAGAATAGTCGTCTTCTCATATGCTAACGTACTCCTCTGAGCACAATTTTTTCAAGTGATAACACTACTTTCTAGAAAAAAAAAACTATTCACATTTCAAGGCCTTTTTCGGTTGGTATTTTTATTTCCATGTTTCATTATTCATTAAACCGTAAACTTGCACAATATTCATCACGTACGCATTCCAAATTAATCACTATCCCTCTCAAAGAACTTTCACTGAATACAAAGTAAATCCACAAAAATGTTGAATGCACACCGCTATCGTTCTGCAGGTGGGCACTTAGAATTGTTATTGGTATTAGCACCCTCATCCTATTTTCCGAAACAAAACATTCTTATGTCTACAGGTTGATGGACGCACTGTACGATTTGAAGAATGAAATTCAATGGGTACCCGGAAGCTGGCTATGTTGAATGTAAAGATAGATATGAATATGTCCAAATAGACCCATAGAACATTATGGGCCACCGACTAAATAAATAAATAACTAATATCCACCCGGTCACTACTATCAATCATTCATCCATCCGTATTGTCTGCCCATGAATAAAAACTACCGATTTTTTGTTTCGTACTTGATGTTGTGTTGAACAAAATGACTCGTTCGATAGTATTATAGCTACTCGTTTTGTCTTTCGTGTGAATCCCATTAATTGTAATCATGTTATCCCGTGAATTGTGCTATGGAGACAGTTTCATTCTGTACCCATAATCAATTTATAGTTGGATATATTCACCATTAAATTCATCATTTTACCACTTTTTTTCCTTGATCGAACAATGACGCCTCTCCGAAAAATTTGTAGCAATAATCTGAAAACTTTCATCGTCACCGTTTCCCTCACGCAGGTATCGAAGTCTGAATAACTATTACTCCATGGTACAATTTTAAAAATATGAACATTCAATCCATGTGAATAGGTGTCTCCGATTCACAGCAGATTTACTCAGAAAGTATTTGTCAAAGTGTGCAATTTAGATGGTATTACGAAACTTATTCCACTCTGTATAAGCAGCATAAGACGAGAAAGTTTAAAACGAATACAGTTTCGGAACCACATTTGTTGAACTGAAAACTAGAAGTGTTGAAAGGAATTTACTTATTGAGTTTCACTTCGGCTATTGGTCACTTTGTCTTGATTCAATTCATTGTAGTGAGGTTTGAAATTGCTTTCTTTTATTCAGTTGCATATTGAAGTGATCGTTACCGAAAAGAAACGATATGTGAATGTTTCAAAACTTACACACTAGGGCTGCATCAGAACTGCAGTTCGAAATTGAAAGAAAGATGTATCGAAACAAACAATGGAACCATCAGCACAACATCAGAAGTTTGGAGCAGCCCTAGTGCGTAGAGTACTTTTTATTTTGATAGTGTGTTAAGCTGTTGACTAAGCTCGATAGAACGAGTAGCCGACTCAAGCTGGGTAATGCTGAAGGCAGTTCCATATCAAAAGTCGATTGCTGAACTGTTAATAAACGAATTTCTTGTCAATCCAGCCCCAAAATGTCCGAATTCATGCTCATGCACAACATGCTGTATTTACTGGATCACAAACAGCAGTGAACGAGACCGAGCTCTTCACCATTCAACGTTCCATCACACTTATGACATCAATGCCACGCAACAATACAATTACAGTATGTCCCAGAAGTTGAATTTTGAATTCACCATTGCCTGATTTAAGTGATGTGAATATAAATGAACCCATTCAGATCAAATAATTAACAAGTTCCATCTTTGTTATTACTCAACGAACGATCACACGTACTTGCGATGTAATTGAAAAACGTTACGTTTCCTTGCTGTACAGCAGAGAACAATAACAATGAAGAATTTCGATCAAGAACGCAGATAGGAATAATAATAACTTTACAAAATTTTACAGAAACAAAATAAAAATCAATATGAACCATTTGACCGAGCTGGATATGACAGGACCAACTAAACAGAAACAGTATTCATGCACATAAGTACAAACTGCAATATAAACATCTATTTTTAAATTTTGGAGATGTTTCGGAAAAGAGGACAAACAGAAACATAAGCGGGGGTATAATGGAGAAAACAACTGCAATAGAGAACCATTATGGGGAAGTGACGAAGTGGATAAAATAGAATACACAGCAAGTATCTGTTCATGATGGCATCGAGTCAATGGATTATGAACAATGGACGGATTGAATGAAGATGATGAATGAGAGTTACAATGATAACGATACTGAAAAGAATAATATCACTTGAATGCAATAAACAAAAACACCATTCGTTTTACACAAATCGCGAACACACAACACAACAACGATATGAATTCAACTTTTCAAATAAAACTTATGGACGAACGAACACTTCACAACACAACGAATGCATCTCCTCTTCAAAATGCTATTGTTGTTATTCGTTCGTTTATGGAAGATCTACTCAGATGCTTTTACTGTTCAAATAACATTTCTATTGCATCTCTTCATCATCACCTAACATATGTGAACGGCTAGACTTTTACGCGCATCAAAAGACAACCAGTAATTTTAGAAAGCAGTTGCATATCGGACATTGCTCATTTGAAGATCCAACAAACTATCACCATTGCGAAAAGCGATAAGCTGTTAACGGCACATAATCGTCGTTTCGAAGAGAAGTGAATTTATTGCGATGTCTAGCTGCATCGATCTGCTGAACAATTATAATTATGGAACGCTTCAATCCCAACTACTCGCTGCTAGACCCTCTTTCAGAGCACTTCATCTGCTGACTGCATGAGTTCGGTTTGATTGAACGAGCACAGACACGAAAAAAGATTATTTTGCTTGGTTGAAGGCAGAAAGCAACACGAAACCGTCGTGGCATGCATACAACTCGACGCACCAAAACAAAAACAAAACGCGTCATTCGAAAGCAGTTGACCAACGTCGATAAAGTGGCTAATTCGACTACCAGTCCTAATATAGGACCGCATACTGAGATGCATCCTAATAACAGCTTCAAGCCATTTTGAGAGAAAGAACTTACAATGAAAATAACCAGAGCTTACAGCTGACCGATAAAATACCGCAGAAAGTATGGGCCAATAATGCATGAGATGGAAACAGATGAGTATTTCGGAATAATTAAACAAATAAATAAATACATATGAGCATTGCAATAAATGATAATGAAAAGTAATAAAAAATTAATATACACAATTAAATGAATAGTACATAATTTTGTATCCCATTCTGCCACATTTCACCTTTTTTCCCTCGTGCACCGTAAAAAGAGAATTTCAACCGTAAAAAGAACAAACCATTGAACAAAGAACGCTTAAAAGAGCCTAACAGGGAACTCAATGAGAATAATTAGCATTGATTGCGATAAAATGAATAAATTAACGAGAATGCGCGAAAAAGCGATTAGGATCGAATCGTATGGAAGAAGCAATTGCTGCTGCATTAATGCAAACTACGAGCATTTCCTAGAGAGTCGCAATTTCGGCCGACACCATTATCATAACCTCGGTGCAGCCGCCACTGGCTCATCAGCCACTTGCACATCACTTTGCCGACTCACTCGATCTTTTTCAAGTGCTTCTGCCAATGCACTACACAGTTTTTCTTCATCCATCTGAAATTAATGAAGCCAATTAACTCCTAGGTAATTTCACGATAACAATGCATGCACAATTCATGCATCGAACGAATACTTGAATGAATTGAACTCACTTCTGAGACAAGTCCATGCTGTATGAGTTCTGTAACTAACGCATTCGCATTATCACTTTCATGAAGCTCGGTCGTCAGCTGGCGGTTCATTAAGTCGTCCAGTTGTAACATTATCGTTAACAAAGACCCTACAAATATATAATACTTCTCACTGTCATTTTCATTGTGTGAAAACGACGGCTCATAGAATTAATTAGCTAAGTAACCGTTAATTGAGACGTTCAACTTTACGATAGCACGACTTTCAGTATTTGCCGTAGGTGAATCGCCAGGCGGTGAAGGTGTTGGCTCAGGCCTATCGCCAGATTCCGAACCATGCTCAAAATCTGGAACTAAGATCGCTGCTTTAGAATGGTCAACTTTAACGTAACATTAATTCTCCCAACTGTGAGCAAGAGCAATTCATAAAACGATTTGCTTTGACATTTTCTTCACAACGATAAACAAGATGCAATGGATGAGAATCTATTGAAAGATGAAAGCAAAAAGAAAAACAAATGGATGAAGACAAATGAAAACAAATGTAAAAACCAAACGGATGAATTTGATGAAAATCTAATTATTGAAAGACTGGATGAAAACAAAACTAATTATTGAAAGACCAAAAAATGTAAACGTGATATACCAATGAGTGTATCAGCTGTAAGTGTATTCGATGATGTGGATGCTGTCATTCTCGGCTGATGTGCAAGGGGTGCGAATGCTGTCAGAGGATAAATACCATTACTTACATCCTCTAGAAACTTATCTAAATCCACCTAAAAGATTCACATTTCAATTCACTTCAAACTCTTTTGATGAAGTTTTGAAAAAACGATCGATGATCACAAATAACTTCTTCAGTTTTTAGAAAGTCAACGCACAAACCTGGAAAGCTGGCACCTGACAGTAGGCCATCTCACGGAATTTCGACGTGGCAGCAACTCGCTCAGGATCGTCGACCCGTAAGTCATCTTCATTAAGACTATCATTTAGCTTCGACGTTACTATTTGATGAGCAGCCAGTAACTTCAACGAATGCACCTAAAAAAGCGCATTTTTTCGTTCTTCTCACCCTCTGTTTGATGAACACAATCATTGCATTTGTTCAAACTGATTCATGATAATTCAATTAAGTATAAAATTTGATAGCACAAAATAATGTATAGAGAATGATTCAAATCTATTTCAGTCTCACCTCAAATAAAATGGTATGGAAGAGCAGTTCACGAGCGGTTGGCCTTTTGGATGGATCAAGGTTCAAGCAGCTCGCGATAAAATTCTAAATTTTATGCACGTTTTAGGATGAATAATCTGAGTCCAATGCTATCATCTTATATATTTATCATAAACCATCATCCATCCTCAACAAATTTTTAAAACGCCATCAAATAATGCAAAACCATCGCTTGTAACAGAGATGGATCGAAGGGCACTTCAAAAGATTTCTCAGACTACAACAGCAGCCACGTTACACAAAAAATTATCACGTTTATCGTCGTCCACTATTCATGCAGATGACAACTAATCAAAACATTTCTCGATTAAACGAAAATCAATTTTCGGATCATTAAACGGATAAGTAATTGAGTGATCATGGTAACTGAAAGAACAAAATGTTACTGTCATTCATGGAATGTTACTGCCATTAATACGATTGCCAAGCACCCCTACTACTTCGAACATACGAATAATTCACAAAAGAATTTACTTTCTGCATGGGATCCTCAATGGTATCTAACGCTTTTTTGATCATTTCATGGGTGACTATCGTTGATTCAGAAGAGCCATTTCCAGAACATCCGCCAAGGCCAACTGGCAATGCCATCTATAAATCGTTATTTTTAAACCACATCAATCATCAAACAGTTTTTTTTAGCGATCAGTGACCGCATAACTGAACCTTTTCGTGATGCAACTGTAGGAATACAAAAATGTAAATCACATGAACAACTCATACCTCTAATGCACAGATTCCAAACGAATATATATCGGCTGGCGGTGCAACTGCCGTACAATCTGAATAATGTTAGCAATCAGAAGGCTTCAAATGCTTCAATAGTATGTACATCACATTTGAGCATGTCAATTACATCACAAAATGAGTTAGCCAGTTACTTCTTTTGAAATGGAAAGGAACAACAACAAAACATTAACGCAGTTTTTCAAGCAATGACAAAGCTCGAATATATACATGAGTGGAATATTCCAAGGAAAAACAACGAATAAAGAAACGTACGTTCATATTCAGGTGCAATATAATGCATATTTTTGATATTTTCGCGGAATGTTTTCACATGATGATGAATTGCGTTCGGTGCAACTGCAATATTATTCAATTGTAATAAACTATATTCATCAACAAGCATTTCTACTATCTGATATAATCACCGCCTTGTTAACTAACCGATTATAGTATACAAGATTTATCGAAAGTTTACACTGAACATGAGTAAGGTTACTTGAAGATAAATAAAAATCATATATTTATGAATACAAATTAGAATGAATAGTTGGAAAAAAAGAGTGAAGAAATACGAACGATGAAGATAAAAAATACCGCATCCGATCTTAATGAGACCATTATGTTGAATGAACATTGTATTACATGTTAAATTGGCATGAACAATTGGTGGAGTACATGAATGCAAATAATTTAGCGCTGATAATATTTGAGTGGTCCACTTTTTCCACGCCTTAATCAATACAACTGAGCTGCTGCTAAGAATGGAACAACGTTCAGTTTAATGCAATTCAATGACATCAATGAGGAAATGACTACTCAGAAAGTGACAAAAAGAGATATTCACGAAAACGAATCAATTAATTTTAAGCATGAAACAAATACCTTCAAACTGAGCGATGAGCCAGATTTGCGGGTTCGTTGAAGGAAACGTGCAAGTGAACCAGATGACATATACTCCGTTATGAATATTATCTAGAAATGTGAAACTGATAATGACATCGAGAATGAAGAGAGATCAAGGAGTACAGAACAAACCCTCGGCTTTTCGGATTTTGGATCAGTCCAATACTTGTGGAATTTGACAAGATTTGTATGCACAAGATGCGTCAAGTTATCAAACACGGCATTAATTTTCTCCTGCAATGCAAAAAATGAAATCAATAAACATCTCGTTGCCAATGATATACTGTCAAATCTAATGGGGGCAAACCACCTCTTGAGCCCGAAAATTTTTGCGTTCGGAGAAAAGCACCTCATTCCAGACGACCTCGTTTCCGGTTTCATTATCCATTGCCAAGTAAGCAAAATCGATTCCAGGTACATCACGTTGCTTTACTTGCTCACGTCGTTTACTCCACCTTTTGCATGGACTTTCCTCTAGGATCTGCAAAATTTACTTTTTATTCTGTAACTCATGATATGAATAAGAAAATAAGTGAAAATTTGAAAAGACAAAGGTGGTATTGAAAAGTCATTTTTCGACAGTCTATTAGCTTACTACCAACGACCGCTAAACTGCTTTTTCGATAATAAATCATCCAATGAGGCGATTGATTGGTGGATGGAACAAGAGATGAACTTTAGAAAAAAGTGATAAAGAAGCAAAACCTCTTCAGCTCCATCACCTTCCGACTCACTATCCTTGTCGTTGTCAACATTTTCAACACGACTCGTCGTTTTTGTAGTGACTGGAATCGGACTAGCTGTTGTTGGACTCGTTGATGTAGCAGTGCTTGTTGTTGTTGTGGTTGTTACATTGCTGGCTGTGGTGGTTACAGTAGTTGTTACTGTCGACGTTTGTGCTGATGCTCTAGTGGTTGCAGTGGTTTTTGCTGAAGGTGTTTGACTAGTTGTTGCAACTTGTGTTTGCATTTCGACTCTGATTTATACTTTATTGAAATACTATTTATGGTTCAGATTGAGATCACTCACTCTCACCACATCAACGATTCTAGCAGCAGCAGCAATAACCGCTTTTGCAGATAAGTAGTTGAATGCTCTTGATGAGCAGCACTCGCTTTGATTCAACGATGATAATGAAAATAGACGAATTATTGTTGAGTGATATGATACTGATGACGCAGTAGTGCAACACTGCACGAATGACAATACACTGCGTTTAATCCTTCTTCTGTTCACACCTCTCATTCAAAATACTCTTTCCTTCCGTCTTTTCTGCAATATTCAAATTTCACACTCCAATCGACACTAATGCTCTTCACAAGTACCATCAACCTGTCTACAAATCCAAAATTCACAAAACCCACCAACCAACAACCACAAAACAACTCTCACTATCAACAAAGTCTTTCGTCTTCCACTTTTCTTTCAGTCAATTTTCTGTTTGTCTATTTTGCTCCTCTTCGATCAATTTCGTTGCTGCCGCCAAGCGGCCCAAATAAGCCTAAGGCTAACCTCGATCGCTTTACTGCTTTGAAACGGTCCTAGAATGACCGTTTCTGCAAATTCAACGGATCAACTGAAATACAATTGAATCACAACCGTTTCTTAGCGTTCAACGAGTTTAGCGCAACGATCATTAATGAGCTAGTCCGTCGATTACCATCTTAGTACACAAATTATTTAACGTTATTTTCTGTGAGTTAAAAAAATATTTACATGAATAATTCTTCACATAAAACGTCAATTAACTTTCTTATACACACAACACATTGCTTAGTGGTGTAACACACTTGAGAAGGATTTCACTGATCTGTTTCGAATATTTCAGATGTTTTTAACAATAAAAAGAAACCTACAAAATATTGGTAGAAGCAGCTGTAAAACCCCTGACAAAAGTGGAGACAGTAGCACATTCTATGGCTTGAACTTACAACGGTCAATCAAATGACTAGAGGATTAGTGATTCCAAAACAAAATTCAACTAATCATGCATGTGAGAGGAAGAACAACAGTCGATAAGTGCAATTAAGAATACACCTAATAACCAAGCAATGATAACGTGCTGATGATATATTCACAGGTGAAAATGGAATTTATAAATGAGGAAAGTATGCCTATTAGATGAGTTATAGTATAAAGACAAATATTACACGTTAAAACTTATCTATGTAATTTTTTGCAGAAATCGATACAACGCAAAATCTTACTAACAGTGCCATCAGTTATCATCTGTGCTCTCCTATGTTCACTTAACATCACTCTAAATAAAATACTTGGTCGAAGTGATAGTGACTGAAATTTATGATATCGTAAGCGTAAGGACTTGTTCACTTGGCGTGCTATCACAGACGTTAGCATATTTGGAATTCGTTTGGAACAGCAAAATGATGCAATTGTGATACGTATGAACTCAATGACGTGCTCGATGGGTGTTTTTAATAATTCCCTGATACTATCTTAATAACATTCTCTGCCTTTTTCATATCATCATACGCAGTACTGAACGATGCGAAAATGTCATCTATTGAATACATCGTTAGAGGCGATCGTTCATGATGAAGTGTTTTGAGCTTACTTACAAGAATGTCAACTAAACAATCGAATGTGCCATCTGATTGTGTTCATTTACAGAGTCAGAACAGAAAAAGATGACCAAAAACATCGGCAAATACTTTTCATATTAGCATTGTGAAGATTTGACGAAACAAAAAAGGTTCAGTTCAGCAAACACAGTGCATTATGTATGTATAGTGTAGCTGATGAGCGTTTCTCGTAAATGTTACTGCTAGCCATACAATGCGAACATATCGTTCGTTCTAATGCTTCACACAAATCGATTAGACAAGTGAAGCGAGAAGTGTCGCTTCGAATGCAGATGAAAAAACGAATTGTTCACCATGAAATTTCATGAATTTCACAATCATAATCCACAAGCAATAATCGAAACGCATAAGGCTTGAATAATAACTAGCAAAATTCATGCGCAAATTGTCGAACACAAAAACGTGCCTACAGAAGGAACGGAAGCAGCTTGTTGTTGACTGCGTTTTGGGAAAGTTATCTCACGCTCGCATAAAAAATGACAGCTAAATGATCCAAGAGCGTCAACAACGCTATCACTTATGAACACTCACAGATAATGAGTATATAAGGAGAGGATATCGTCTATCCAATTTTACTTTTCATTAATCCACGCTTTTCAACTTTCGCTGGCCATCACATCCTATTGTTATATTTGTACGTTCAGATAGAGTCGAACGAACAGTTGCATGGCATGATCGTAAACTTTTAAAATTTTGATATTAAAATGAGATAAGAATGATGGAGTCAACTTCAAAAAATGAGTGTTATACGAAGCAATAACAGATCGATGACACATCGAGCGCAAAAATCAATTACAAAACTGCGTAAATCAAAAGTTCGATCTAGAAAAGTATGGGCCAGGGTATAGTTTCAAAACTAAGATATTTGGTAGGAGGTTATCGAATTAATTTGATGATTGAATACTGATGACAATCATAGTTTATGCAAGCATGAAATATAAAATGAGTGCAAAACGATTCATTCCAACGCCAGCAATGCGTACAACATACACATACAGATTTAGACACACATATAGATCGGTTTGAATGACATAGGGAGGAAATGCCAACCAATATCTCCACGTGCGTGCGGCCGAACGAGAAAGCAGTTCGTAGCAGATGCAATAGATGGAGAGAGGAATAAGAACCGTCTTTCATCCACTAGCACAGCAAATGCACATATTCTCTCGTGAACAAGACGCTCAGAAGTCGAAGCTACATCGAAAGACAACTAAAATTCGTTCAAGTGTGTACAGTTCAACAGCTATTCCGGGAAGCCAATGTCACAGTTCATTGAAAATCGTTAGATATGGATACAGTAAAAAGAATACGGTATTGAGCACATAATAATGACCGATGCCAATATATCTCTTACAAGAATTGAGAACTTTTCTCAATTCGTTTCATATTTCTAAATTTTCAGCAAAATTATTGGACCATTCATTCGAGATGTCCCTGTTCACCGAAAATGAGCGATGCTGTGGTTACAACCAAAAATGTTGTATTTTGCATGAGAATTCATGCGTGTGCATACGGGATTAAATCAAGAAAGTATCTGGTTGAGTTTGTGCTTTCGTTATGTGGAATTTTCCAGAGAGGAACATTTCGACATCAATAGAAAAATTAAAATTTAGTTATGGCATTTTTGATGAGATCTGCTAATCTTTTATTATGACACCATTGGTGATATTCAATAAATGGAACTTCCGGTAGGCAATAAAAATCTAAGAGTATCACTTCCTCAGAATGCTAAACTTCTAACGAAAGCATTATACCTGTCAGCGGACAGCACTGCGCAATAGAATCAAACCCCATTATCTTCGCGTTCAGTCATTTGATAAGTCATTTATCATGTTATTACTCATATCTATATAAGGTGATGGTATTCACATATTGAGCAATACTTTCAGATGTTAAAGAATACACATTATTATGGTCATGTTAAGATTTATTGAATATGATTTTGAAGTGGGAACTTGTTGATTTTTATGATTGATGGAAGCCAATGTTTTTTGAATATTTCAGATGAGAAATGGACACTTTTTTATACAAAAGAATCTGAATAAAGATTTTAACTTTCATATCAAGAAATGGTTGTCACGCAAAAATTAATGCATTATTTACCGTCTGTTGAATGTTTTAATTGTTCCATCATCTGATATTCACGGATCGTTGTCAAATTAAGAGCACATGTTGACTGAACTTTCAATTCTCTTTCAACCGAATAACTTTTGGATTGCAAGGCGTTCAGTTTCGAGACATGATGAAAGTAGCTTCTTGTTTTGTGGTTCGGATGTGAGTTCTCTCTTTACTTCTTTGATAACACGTCTGTTAACCACTCTTTTATCATCTAAGCGAGCGCACGCAGAGCTGCTCATTGGCACTTTCATCCCTTACTGGTATAGACCCCATGTGCTATCGTACGGCGGACTCTCTGTGTGAGAGCTGTTCTGGGCCGAAAAAACTAGTCTTATCTTAGTAGGACTTGAATTTAATTTCGTGCTGGTCCTAACCGCACAATACCAGTAAAACCATTTCCAGTGGAATAACTGTAGTGTGATCAATTCCGGAATAATTTTTGAGAATACTTTTCCGATGGAACACTTCTCAGAAGTTGATGGTGTCTCGAAAACGCCCATCGTAATGTATGTTGAGCGCATATCATGTATGAGCCATCATAATTATAGAGTGCGCTGCATTCAGTTCCTCTAAAGAATAGCCAAATTGAAGCGGAAATCAAAGAAAAGAAAAGAAATTGAAAATTTTATGTTCTTAATAACACAGATTAAATCTCCATTCACAATGAACAAAATGAAAATATTCACGAATAATCCACAGACGGAGATTGTCGAATTTTGTTAGAATCAGCATGCATAGATGTTTTGTTGTAAGATATGTGCTTAATTAATTCAAACGCCCTTCCCTTTGTTTGTATGACAGAACATATGAAGGAAAAAGATAGCAGTTCTGATAAAAGAAATTGAAAAATGTTAACATCATAAAATTCTCGCTGTGTACCTTCAGATCATTTCGTTCAACCTTCTGCTATTATCCACTTTCGATATTATCCATCGAACAAGCAGTTGAAAATCAAAAACAGAAACATGAAATATTCATTATGCAGATTGTTGATGGTGAACATCTAGTATGCGATAAATGCAATCAAGTGTTGTAGCATTGAGTGATGGCAAGCAAGTCTAGGTTGTGAGAATCAGCGCGGAGGGAGTGCGAGTGATTCTTTCGCTTCCTTGAAATTCCGAAAAATACTTTCGATAAACACCTTCGTTGAGAGGCTTTCATTCCCATTAACGTTCAGATGAAATGCCAAGAAGTCGAAGTGTAGAGTAAGGAAAAATTTTGGTTCATGTTCTCTGATTCAGATGTATCAAGAATATTACTCCGAACTGAAATCACTGAATTCTACGAAACGATCAAATTGTACAATTATAGAAATTAACTTACTATAATCTGGAATCTAGGCGAAATTTGTTCGAATTTGGCGCTTAACTACGATGATGAATCAACATAACGCTGGTGTGTGGGTGCGATGCGTGAGCGGTGATGCGTCGTATTTGTGACGAAAAAGTTGTAGTTTTTTCGGATGACAAGAAATGTTCAGCTTTGTGGATGTGTCGAAAGGAGAAAGGAAATACGATTACTGAAATCTCAAGCCTTAATCCTTCTTGATTTTTAACATAAATGTAGCATGATTCGAAATTTAGAAGTAATTACACTTCTAAATTTGTTCGCTTTTCTTAGTCTCATCACCGGAACTAGCAGTGTTGTTATTGTTAGTGTAGTTAGTGTGGGCACTGATTTTGCAAGTGATTCATTCCATCAACTGAACAGTCATAAGTTTTAATCGAAAATTCTTCTTGAGTGAATAAAAGAAAGTGATCAGTATGATAGACAGTTTGAAAGTGATCACTCGACTGCTGAGAAGTTTTTCACCTGTGAAACTAAGAATTCCACTGAAGAGGAGTCGACCACAATGGAAGAAATTGATTCCAATATTTTATTGACTTCCCTCCTCTTTCCTCTAATTGTATAGGAGAAGAAATTCGTAGTTGTGCACTCGTTCTCGTTTAGGACATCATAGAAATTTTATTCTTTTTTGATTTTTCATTCTCATCGCTCATTTCTAGATCAGAAATTAATATTCACAGTTTTAGCCCATTCACAGGTTTAGTCTTCTTCAGTTATCGAGTAATTTTCGCAGCATTTTTAAAGTTTCAGAAGCAATCTAATAATTACTACATTATGAATTTCGAGTTGAATCCGTTTCGCTACAGCATTTCTTTGGTCTTCCAAAAATGGTATTTATTAAACTCATCAGTTAAATTCAAGGAAGAAACAAGCAATATCAAACAACAATTAGTTGTGATCAGAAAGAGAACATGAAGTCGGCATTAAAATTTCGCAAATTTCGCATTACTTCTCGTAATTGCGGTTGTTATCTTGCCTATTTTTGTTTTGCTATAATTCGGTTAATTCAATCATATTGAATCTGCTTGGTTACATCTACCACAGTCACAGATTCGTCATTGACTAGGAAAGATTACTGCTTAATCATACTCGGTTTTTCCGAGCGATAGACGGAAGTGCAGCCCTTCGATCGATCTGAGTGTATCATTCTCCAGGCTTAGCTCTTCATAGCGCTCGCTAGGGCAAGAAGCAAAGCGTTTTGGGGTGAATTTCTGATGCAGCACAAATTGTGAATCGATTGTTCAATAATAACCTTATCGTGCATTTCTTGTATATGATGACGCTGTATCGCAGTTTTGCTCTTTTTGGGTTCTTTGAATGTTCAGAATTTTTTTCAGTTATCTATTTTCATGAAATTCGATAGTGTTTGCAGCATTTGGATATGAGCGTGAAGGCATCCACAAAAGCATGTCATTGACTCGAAGCGCTATCAATGAGCTATGTGGCTATATACAGGGTTCGAGTTCTGTTTAACAAACTTTTTCATACGATTTCCTGCAGTTTGCACTCATGCTTGGCTTGCACGAATGAACATCAGTTGAACTGCATGATTCATTCGATTCTATTCGGTGTTGATGCTGAATGATGGTTTGTTTAAGAAAAATGCAGTACGATATTTGGAAACAAGTATTGGGATTGTCGATTCGTATGCGCAGTTGAATATGGTACTAAACCAGATAAATATGAGACACGCATATTCACCCTATCGAAATTTCGAGTATTCATTGTGCATGGCAAAACACCGGCGTCCATTAAAGTGGATCGTTGCTTCCATTTACTATCGATTAAAACGATGCAAATTCTCAGCGACAACGAGGTCAATCGTTCAAACTATTACATAGCGTTGCTCATTCTTCATTTCTGAGAACAATTGTTGCATTTATTCAATTAAATTCAAGTAGAACAAAAAGCAGCTCAATCTTGCCGAATAGGGTTGCAATTAATCTGATTTTAATCGTATTTCGGTATAAACTTCCAGTTAGCAATCAATGATATTTTTGTGTGTTGATGGTACTTATTCTCAACTGATTTTATTCCGTTATTCACCAGTTTATGAATATGAGGAATTTCATGATGAAATTTTCTTTAAAATATGAGTGTTTTGAAGGTTTGCTTGGGTTTAGACGAAACTACCGCAAAAAAACGGATATTTTTCCGTTGTGAAATACCGGCAAGAGATCTGGCAATTCATATTTTATCCGCCATAAAACACTATTTTCCAGACTCTGCAAAAATGCTTAAGTGAGTGTTTTTGAAATGTGCTTTTGCATCTCACTTCATTCTTTCTAATACGAAGTGATTCTTCTAATCCACGCGTATCGACTGTGTAATTTGTAACTTGAAATTAGTATTGATGAATGGCTAGGCATTAATTTTATGAAAATGTTGTTGGTAATCACTTTCGAAAACATTCTATGTACTGTGAATGATGATTTTGAAGTGGCTTTATCAAGGGAAATATTTTGACTGTTTGAATGTTTTTCTCTTCAAGGGACCTATAGGTTAGGCCCTCACACGATCTCAACCTAGCATCTGGTAGGTTCCCACATAGAACAAATTTTTCGTTCGATTATCATCACTGCAATACAATTAAGTGTCATTGTTCGGCATTGATAAATTAATTCAACTTTCAGGTCAATAATAGAATTAACTCCTAATGATTTATATCAAGAATTTCTAACGCTTCCATGTAGCAAACCGCTTCTGGCTTGCCATAACTTCCGTAGGTCTTACGCAGCACTATGTGATTTCTACGATCAACCTTTCCGAGAGGAGGTTGTTTGGGTTGGTGGCAATTAAACTTGTAACATATTTAATCTCGCATCGATTGAATTTTCTTCGAAATTTCAATTTGCTGATTTGTGCAATAGACATTTGAAAATGAATTGCACTAACAGCGAACTTGTATAGTTATTAATTTGAATATCACTCTTGGAATTGTATTTTCAGTCATTCTTGTAGTGATTGATCGTTTTAGGATGTTGAGAAGATCTACGCATCTCATCGGCTTCACGTCTTGCGATTGGATGATTTCACACATTTATTACCGAGGTTTGTTGAAAATTATTTTTGGACTATAGCAGTAGAATACTGAATGTTGTGTTGATTTTAATTAACATTACCTAAACAATTATTGCTTTTTCAGTGTGTTCATGAAGAAAACATGAAAAGAGCTTATTCATTTCACACCGTTATTTCAGTGATTCATCACATTGTTTTCATTGATTATTCCGTTTTTAATTTTCAGTGAGTAGAACATTGATTGTGAATTCATTTGCAGAGATTTGGTACCAATTTTATCTGTTTGTCAGTTTTCATCATTTTTTACTGGCATTCATGTGGATGGAATCAAACTGGCATCCGATTTGATTGAAGTGATCTTAATGATCATACGACGCTCTCAGTCGCTTATCTCTCTCATTCTCAAAAATTGTTCGTTACCTAGGTGAAGTATTCTTTTGTTCATGGCATGAATGCGAGCGTAAACTTTTTGATCAAGGAATCGTGGGTTTGGCGGTGTTCACTTTTGAGTATATCCAATAGAGGTCTTGCTTATAATCATAATAAAGGAAATAATAAGTCTTCAGTTAATTAATGGTTAGTTCCAGTAATGAATTCTGACAAAAAGTTAGTTTCGTCATCAGCTGCTTGAAGAGTACTGACACCGTTGATGGATCAAAGTGGAATCAGCGGGTTGTTACAATGACGGTGGGATAAAGGGTGAATAGGTCATCAGCGCTTAGTTATAACGAAACCTTCACCCCATTAAGTCAGCGAGTGTTCACGAAGGCATCTTCCGATGGTTATACTGACAGGTAGACAGTGGTGTAACCGGAATTTTCTCCNGGAGGGCGCAAAATGATTTGATCCAAGGAAATAGCTGAATTTTGGGGCGGATTTTTCTACATTAATTTTTTCATCCTTCTCCCAACTCTGTTTGCTTTTCGCGTTCTTTTTTTCCACTTTCTTCTCCCTTCCCCCTATTTTCCTTCTTTTTCTCATTTCCTCCACCTTTCGGCTGCGGCTACCTCTTTCGCTACGCCACTGCAGATAGACATACAGAAATATGTTATACAGTGGGTCATTGGGTAGTTTTCATTTCATCTTCTACCGACGGGCTTACCGAGTTAGCAGTATGATATCTTCGACCCAGTCAATCGGCAAGCGGGAAACTATAATAGTTAGATGCTTGTCTGACGGTTCACGGGTCGTTTAAGAAGTACAGTGATAAGACGAGTAAATGGGTAAAGAAAGGGTAGAAAGACCCGTTGAAGGGAAATCAGTCAGTGAGCAAATGGGCTAAATCCATTCGTATTAAAATGGTGCGAACGTTCGATAAAACTGAACGAACGTTGAGGTGAACCAATGCAATTTTTTCGAAGGGTTTTTGCAGATGTGTTGTTGACCTGTCCACAATGACGTTGAAAACAGAACCGATAGGCGTACATAGTTGATGCATTAATTTCATGTGTTTGTAATATGCTGAGCACTAATAGTAAAAATTTCGTTCAGATGTGCAAAGTTGATGTTATAGTTTCGCCATGAAATCGTTCATTCACAGTTTTTGATTTTCAAGTTGAGAATTAGCTAGAAATTCAATGATGACAATGAAATAAAATTGAAGGGATTTTATGAGTCTATTCGCAAACGCACTTCAATCAAATATCGTGATTCCGTTGGAAACAATCGACTTGTCGAAGAACGCTCTCGATGATAAAAAAGGTTCTGTTTTGATGCGAACTTCGTCAGTCAATAATCTCTGACTGTTCACAGTCCTATTAGCGATTTCTAATGGGAATTGAATGAGATTGGGTGGATTAATTCGAAGTTTTTAAATTTGTTCGATCAGAAATTGTTCATTGAACGATATTTTTGTTGAATAAGTATTACGCAATAATAGTTTTATTGATCGATTCGAATCAGCGTAATTCGAATGCTAATTTGTTAATTGAATCAAACGTGTACCTGATGAATGATTGCAGGTTTTGTCACACTGAGTTCGTTAATCTCGAGGGTATCTACACTGCGCAGCTTAACGTTATCTGAATGTATCATATCCGAGAAATGCGTCAACCTCGTTGCATCGGGTCTTCTTCAAGCTCTTAAACCCAACACAGGCGCACAACAGTTGCATCTCGTCGCCATTGATTTCTCAGGCAACCCTCTTAAGGATGTAGGTTGTTACGGACAATATTAAACTGTCTTTGAAAGAGAATATTTCATCTTCAAATAATGCAAGATCTATAAAGTATTACTATAATCAGAGGTGGGCAATAGCGCGCTGTCGTTAACGAGCGGAACTTAGCGAAGTAGCGGAATAGTGCGCTATTGCCACCCCTGACAATGATATATGTATATTGTTAATGAAATATGTTGCGCTATAAACTGAAATGAATTCCAGGAAATGAATGATCTTCAACAACTGTTATCCATTTGTACCAGTTTGCGATCCATTAACTTATCCGATACAGGCTTTAATCTTGACAAATTGTGGCCCTCTTTGAAATTCGGAGGATTACAACTGGAGACTTTGAAGTAACGAATTGATTCGAATCAATTTGATTTTACTGGTTTTATCGAGTCATGACACCTGCAGTTCATTCGCTTTTCAATCTCAGCAACTCTTTGTTTCAGTTTGGCGGGTTGTCAGTCAGGTCGTCGCAATAAAGACAACGTTCAGAATATTAAGGAATACTTCTCTACAGCCGTAGCTTTAAAGCATATAAATTTTGCTGATACCGTCATGTGTTCTGATCTGCTCAAAGTCAGTAGTCTCTGATCCAATCAACGCATTTTGCACTTTCAATTCATTAAGGATTTTGCATTTTATGAAATTCATATGCATTAGAACTTGACTAACTCATCATCATTTAAATTTCAGGCATTATTGCTCGGATTGGCTAGTAATCAACAATTGAAACCGTACACTCTTATACTTGATAATGTATGTGAACGGTACGTATGTTAACGATTTTGTTTCTACTTTGTTAATCGTTCTGTGCCTTTTCATAAATCGATTCATGGGATAATTGTTAGTTAGTTAAAAATAAAAGTGAGCCAATCTCATTTAAGTAAAGAGGTTTTATTGGATATCGTTATTGTTTGCAGAGGTTGTTCATCGGTGCTTGAGACGTGTATTGGAGGCGTTGATGCGAGTCATTTATCGTTACGCGATAACGCGCTCGAAGCAGAGGCGTTATCCGTAATTGCGAGCGCTTCACATATGCCTCATTTGAAAAGACTGGATTTAAGTGGCACTAATTTTACGAATCTCAGACGAAGTGCCAAACATGCAGCTACACTGAACAATATCTTGTTAGAGGTCGTTAAATTGATCGGTGAAGAAGATTCGGTTCGTTTACTATCATTGTTCATAAGTTTGTTTGGCTCGATTCCTTTATTCAGACACCTTAAAATAACACAGGTGTTGTAATAATGAATCTTTCAGCAACTGAATGAACTGGTGCTATCCGACTGTCGTTTGAGTTCTCATTTGAGTGTTCTTTTGAATACACTTGGAGTGGCTTCTTCACTTCTATACCTCGATATAACTGGTTCGCTTTCTAATTCTGATCTTTTCTATGCTACCATTCTATTCAGTCTGTCTTCTGAACAGTATATTTGTTGCTTTTGATTCAGATGCCTAGAAGATTATTCTACTTGTTTTTCTTCTATTGTTCACCGATGTTAAGCAGATTACATGAACCGATGAAGGTTTATTTAGGGAATCAGTTCTTTGTTTTTCATTAAAAGTTCATGTTTCTAATACATCCGAATTTTTGAGAGATTATATTGACGTATTACAATGCCTTTTTCTGCTTACAATTCACTGATCAAAAGGTGAGTTTATAGGTAACGAGATGGGCAATTTTGGCGCACGTTTACTGGCGAAGGCATTACAAATTAACGTATCATTAAAAACAATTTTAATTGATCGAAATCAAATAACTGGCGATGGCTTCGCCGATATAGCTCACGCACTCAAATTGTAAGTTTATGATGAGACCTTATTAAAAAGTTGTACTAAAGGTCGACAACATTCGATGACTAGTTTCTGCGACTATGGAAATCGCTGTGTGCTGTGCTGTTTCTTAATAATGATTGTAAAGAGTATAACCAGTGCCTTCATTGAGGAATAACACGTTGACATCAATGCCTTATCCGCTCATCGATGTTGCTGACTCGTTGAATCGACCAGATCGAGCTAAGACGCTTGCAGCTTTAAGCGATGTGAGTTTGTCACAAGTACAACCGCTTTCGTAAAAAGCGTTCATTAAATCCAGTAGTGTATCAAGTGTGCGTTAAATCACTGCTTTTGGAAATTTATTCGGTTCACAATGGTGTAGCAGTGAGGGTTTTCTCCGGATGCGGAACAGGCATCGCACACATAGAGAGGACTTATCGAAAAGGAAGAGAAGCTTGCCATTATGGATAGCAACTATACGGGAAGGCGAGGGGTATCCAGAGAAGATGGGGGCTGATTGGGAGAATATGGGAATTCCGAGGGAGAGAGGGGTACGAGCGGGAGAGAGGGTCCCCACGAGCGAGAGGATCTCTTTACGAGAGAAACGGTTTCCCGATGAGTTATTGCGAGGGAAAGGAATGCCCCTACAGGGCGGAAAATTTCTGATGAAGGAGAAAGATGAGAGAATCGATACTGCTCAGCAATAAACCAGGTGACCACTCCCTATAGTGTTGCGGCAATTCAAGAAAATATCAGTGATAAATTCTTTACATAGCTTCGCTTCAGATAGAAGTGTCGTTGGAGAAGAACCGACGTGGTGAAGGACGTGGACAAGCTTATTACAGATTAGCCATTTCAGCGCTTCAACAGGTTTTGATTTGCAATGTATATTTAACTGAATTTGAGTATCTGATAAATATTCGTGTGCAATGTAAATGAATCATTTAAGGAATTCATGGGTAGGAGTGGAAACGGCAATGATCACTTGTCGGATTTATGTGACAAGTTGGGGGTTGCTATCGGAACCTTGATCAGTGACGAAAATTCATCGCAGCATTCAATGTTTAACCTAATTGATGAGGCACTCAATAAGCTTGAATCGTGCAATACTCAGTTCGTGAAGGTGGTTCTTATTTCGCATTTATTCCACTCATTTGTGCATCATCGCCATTCATAACTTCAGTATTTCATTTTTTGATTGAGCATTTTGCATTCAGTGACCTGCATACATACCTGCATACAAGTTATTCGTAAAATTTTTTGATTCTACTCGAAATTTTTAGATAGTTCATATGTTTAATGAATGTTGAGTAAATTAAATTGAATGCCTGATCATTTTACAGGAAGCACTAGGGCCGGTCAAACGAATAGCGGATGCGGAAGGCCTTGATGTACGTGTGCCGCCACCAATCGATAATAATTTAGCAGCTCGAAGAACGCTTATTAATCAGATTGCCGATTATTTATGGTGATTACAGCAAATATTCTTCGTCATTGCTGTGTGAAATTTCACAAAAATTTACGATCTAATCTTGTGAATTTTTCAAAATTCCAGTCCATCGCCAATGACACTTCACTTTCTTTAAATATATACGCTCTAACTGATGATAACATTCGTTAGTAAATATTTTTTATGAGAAAGTTCCAGACTTCGTTGTGGATTACTTGTGAAATTTTTTTAATATCTAAATTGAGCTTTTTTCTGAACTTGAATAATGTAATTTGAATTACCCAATTAAATGTCATTATATCAATAGTGTAATGAGAGTTTGAAGTTAATGCTAAATTGAATAATGAATCTCGTTTCTGAAGTGAACTGAAATGGAAGGGTACGAATGCAGCCATCGAAAGTGTTATTCTGGATTTCCGAACGCAATTCAATACAGATGATAAACGTAGCATCGGTAGTTGGCAAAACAAAAATGATAGGTCTCCGGTTGTTGACAAATCTGATTCATTCAGTCGTTCAACTCAGAAGTGAGTAGTTTTATCGTTTTCTTTCATACCTGTTATCATTGTGAAGCAATGTATATTTCAACATACTGTATTCTTCTCCAGATCCTCACATCGTCCAAAATCGGTCGTAACTGATCTATGTAACGGTGAATCAATTGAGGAGAAAGTGAGTTTCGAGTTACCGCCAACCACATCTGCACTAAATCATATCTCTAAAACACGACCAAAGCCTGCTCGAAAAACGAATCAAATACATCGGGTGAATGTTTTTCGTTGTTGTTTTCTTTCTAATCATTATATTTTGCAGACTATCGTTCTTGAAAGAATTGTTATAATTTTTCGACGTTGACAGTTTAGATATTATACTATAATAATGAGGTGATTGGCACTGATTGCAACTTCGTTGGTTTCAGATGTTAATATAGATTTGAAAGATCAGTTGGAGTTGATGTGATCCATTCAGTTATGCATGAAATAATGAAGGGTTGAATTTAGCGAGCGATGGCACGTGCAATGGAAGAAAGTATGGATAGTGCGATGTGTGCAAGTAGTGAGTGTGATGATAATTCAGCTGTATATGACATAGCTGCCGATGAGCGTTTATCAAGTCCCGAATTCAGCACGGGTCAACAGACTGAAGTTGCACCAGTGGATGTTCGTTATGTACCTTCGTCGTCCTCTCCAGCTAGTGTTTATCCATCAAATCGACCGGCATTGTTACCACCTTCCACCGTTTTAACCCCGCCACCACCCCATCATCAATCACAATTAAGTACTATTGCAAGTGCTATTTCAGTGCCTGTATCGTTACCAAACACTACCCAGTCACCATTAACTCAGTCTTCACCACGTTCTTCAGTCACACTAACCCAACAACAATCCATTAACACTTCCAATGGAATGGCATCTTCCAATGCTCCTCAAACAACCTCACAAACCCATCCTCAGCCCGTAGTATTATCTTCTTCCCCATCTTCATCAACAGCTCCTCCACCGATTGTACCGCGTCGTAATCGAGTAGGACCAGCATTAACGCCGCCTTCATTACCACCCAAGCCTGAATCGGTGCATGTTCGACCGGCGAGTTGTGCGATTGAAGATGAAAATGCCAACAGTCGACGTTCGGTCGCCGATATGGCGAGAATGTTCTCATCTTCGGAAACACCATTTGTTCGTCGTACCTAGTTGTTTCATCAGATGTTGATGTTAATTGTGGTAGTGATCGTATTGTTGTTGTTTTATTTCAGAATCTATTAATTAGTAGAATTAATCGAGAATGCAATTTAGCTGATATGTAAAACCTTCACGAATTGATGATGATGATCCAAAAACAGGTGCTAATACATTGAAATGTTGTTTTTATGTGTTCTCTTAAAATGCAAATCATATCTTCTTTATTCAGTTTTTCTTTATCTTTCATCATTGCTCTTTCTGCCATGCAGTCAGTGAATACATTCTATGGTTGTGATGCGTTCAGAACAACGCTGAGTGCTGTCGAATCGAGAGTTTCGTTTTGCATACATTATGCAGTGCTGCAAACATTTATTGTCGTCTTTTCTGTCACATCAGTTCGTTTCTTCAGAGTCAAACTCACGACAAGTGACAGCGCGAATCATATTTCTTTATTAACTCAAGGATTTCCATTTATCCTTGAAACTGACTTTCATGAATTCACATCTTCCAACTATAACTGAAATGAACAGTTTGTTCAACAACGATCCACGTCGTATGTATGTGAAGTTGTGTTTATTTACTTTTTGTTTATAATTTACTAAACCTTCTTCCAGTATGTCATATTTTGATCGTATATGAATTCGAACTCATCTTAACATTCATTAAGTATTTCTTTCATTTATTTCGATACTTAACATCTTCCATTGCATTCGTTCCGTTTTCATCTAGAAAATTTATTGGGTATGTATTGAAATTGAACTGATAAGTGCCAAGAATCGTAATGCATAAAGGTGTAAGAAGAATCATATCAAATTAGAGTATAGCAGGTTTTTTTNTAACAATTCATTACTGCATTTTACCGAACTTCAATCGTTTGTAGCATCAAATTAAGCGTACTTCTCTTCGTTACTGGTACCAAATTCTGAGTGTCATTAAATACTCGTTTGATTGTTTGTTTCAGAAGCGAAGTTTATTTGGTACGAGGTCAAATTATCGACATGATTTTTGCGCACTTATCCCTTATTCATAAATTGCGGTACGTTAAACAGTCAGTCTCATCGTGCTGATTTATTCCCAAATATTCACTCACTTTGGGAGTGAAATTTCAAATCAGTATTTCAAGAATTGCAGTGCAACATCTTTGTATTTATACAAGCTTTTCTATAATAACAGATCGTGTAAGAATCCCAATATTCTCATATTTCTTCACATTTTTCATCAACATTAATCTTCTACCATATCAGTTGCTCATTGTCGCTTTAATATATTGGCCATCTTGGTAGAAAAAATGATTTGAATAGAGCCAACTGTTTTACGTGAATTTGAAATCGTTTTCGAATTTTTTTTTTGTCTGGAAAGATCCGCTGCTTTCAGTTGATAAAAAATTTGAAATGAATTCGATTGCGTAGATAGGGATTTATTCTACAGGCTTGATTATAAATGAGCGATCCAACTTTGATGTTGAGGTGCGTAGCATAATCTAATTTTGTTTAATCTTTCTTTTTTGAGATTTGTAGTTTGAATTGCCCAATACGACCGTCGTGATTCTGTTTGGCGAACAGTTTGATGACAGCCTAATGCAGGAGTTTCGAGAGAGGGAGGGAAGGGGATTTACCCATTTTTGGATATTTTGGTGATGTCAGAGGATAATGGAGGGGATCGAGATATTAGTTCTAACGTTATGCGTGGGAATAATGAATTATTGCAGCCGGAGGGGGTAATGACGGCCTATTAGACCATCGAAGGAGGTAATGGAGTGCCCACACGTGGAAATCACTGGGTTGATAACTTCAAAAATTTGAAGCGTTATAATGACAGTGTTCAATCAGGCGGGATCTTTTTTTTTTGCACTATTATTCTCTGGACTTTTTCGAATCTTATCGGCTGTGGTTTGAAAAGCTGTCATTGTGCATCCTTTTAAACAACACCTAATCGCAGTCCTATTCCAAAAAGGCCTTTATTTATATTCGTTATTTCTTGCGCTTTTAACAGCCACTTTATCATATCTTTATTCCTACGGAATTACTTTCAATCGTTTTCAATTTTTTACAATTTAGTCTCATGTAATTTTCTGCTTATTCACTATAATAATTATGACGCTTCTGTATGTAATGTTCGCTGCCGTTTTGTGCCTGAATCGTTAATGTTGTTTTTCATCAGCTGAATTATTCACACAGATCCATCGTGTTCTTTCGGTTTTGTTTTCAATTGTTCCATTCAGCAAATCATTTTCAACAACTGCTTATTCAGTTCATCATAAATACGATAATGCTTTTATGTCACATGTGAGGAGAATGATAAGTTGTTTATTGATGCACATTTTGGATGACTGATTTGCTTTTTGATGTATAAGTGCGTATAGATTAGCTGAATTGTTCAGTGATATTATTGAGGGTTTATCAGTTGTATTTTTTTTTGTTAAACTGGATGCTTGTTTGCCTTTATATGCATATTTTATTTTAGAGTTTTGTCACATTCTGTTGTCTGTTTTCATTCGAATTTGTACGGTGTGCATTCCTTTCGTGGTAAATTCTTATCGTCTTTGTTGTTTTATTCATTATCATAATATGTTCGTCACATAAAATGTGAATTTCTTGTTTCTTTGTCTGTGTAACAATTGTGAATGAATGAAGGAATCGAGGCACTTACATTTAGTTAGTAAGTACAACCATTCTGGAAGCATACAACGACAATGTATAATTTGCAAAACGCTTCATTTTTTGTGCACAGAAACTGGAAAACCGAAATTCACATAGTAGAATCTTTACGAAAGATTCTTCAAAGAAGGCATATTTCTGTTCGACATTCATAAAAGTTTCTTTTTTTTTTTCTCCAAATATTGCCTGTCATGGTTGGTAGTGACATTTTAACTAAGCACTTACAAACGCAGTATGTTCCAAGCGAAATTTTGTAGTGTTGTGTTTATCATTGGAAGAACGATTCTGGAATCTTTTTCTTCTGATTCTTTGCAAAAAGCCACTATCTACAAACTAGTGATTATAACCGAGCAAAATTTGAACCGACTTTGCAAGACTTCGGAATTCGTTATACCATTCCGACTGAACTTCGGAAATGTTCAGTAGGAGTCCGATTTTCATCGAATTTTGTCGATCGAACTTCGGTCGGTTACCATCACTACTACGGACGTAAGTAATTGTTGCCAGATTGCATTTGAGAGCACACGAGAACGTCGATGATTGATAAAACACAATAATAGACACCATTGAACATTAATTATACGGTGAAGTGAAGGAAATGAAAATTTTTACAAACGAATGAAATACGAATAATCAACGTTTGAGTGAATGTGAAACGGATTGAAAGCACCGAAAGAAACACTATCAGTTTTTGTCATTAGCTAATGTACATATGTGAAGTGTGTTCTGTACCGATATGCTGTATTATGCGCATACACAATGCAAATATACATAAGAAGCGAACATTCTGGATGTTCTACTGCTTAGTGCTAACCGTATGTTTACTGCTGAGAATATTGTATGAATAGTGAAAATGTTCTTTCTACATCATAGCGTCACACGTCACTTGTTATCAGTATTCTGTTTACATAAAAATAATATCGCTCGCTGTCATACGGTCGTTCCTTGCTCACATCCAAGCTCTACATGCCATTCAGTCGTCTTCGTCACATTCTTGCTTTCATCCACTCATTTATCATTCACTTGTACGTTCATCATGCGACCTGCAAATTTCAGTCTTTATTTTGCTCGATCATGAGAACGCTTCTTTGTTGGTGCTGATTTTTTGACTGGTGGTGGTCTTGGAGATAGATGTTTTGAGTGAATGCGTTTCATTTTTTATCTTGCAAAGTATGTTCATGTTGAGGTTAATCTGAACGGGCTGACGTTTCACCATTGTACCTGCACAAATGTCCACTTTCATGCTAGCAACTGGCTCTCTGAGAGATCAACAATTGCATTTGAAATACTACAAATGCTGCTGTCGAAAGTTCAAAGTCACGGTACTTTTTGCCTTATTTCATCACATTATCAATAAGCATGAATTTTATGCTGTACAAGTGCTATTTTCAGGCCATGGCAAAACCAGCTGCTCTGATAAGTGCCTTAATATACATATTTTATATACTAATATTTACTGTCTTCTATAGATGGTTTATTACATTTCCGATTCTAATCGGAGTTTTCATGTACTGGACACTGTATGTTGGTATATTTCATCGTCGCTCGTTAATGCTTCTTCCTTATTTGATTTTTGAGGTACCAATAAAATTTCAACCAGCTTATTAGATTCTGGCATGTTTCTCTTTTAAAACAAGCGTGCTATTGTGGCGCATAAATTGAAATAACTAAATACTGCTAGCACTTACATGTGTACAATTCATTTCGTTCATCTCAACCTTAACTCATAAATTTAACGTAAATTTACATCACCTAATACTCATTTGATAGTACGCAGTTATAAGCATGTGTGTAATTCATCATTACATTAGCTTCAGTAATGCATCATTATGATAATAAATGATCATCTCAGAAATATAGATTCATACTGAATTGGTTCTTTCATAATCGTCTAGTTTTGAGCGCACTTGGGAACGATGAATGAATTTTGTGTGAAACTTCAGGCCGTATCAATGATTGTTTACTTCGTTTCGCTTGTATGGTTATGTTTATTCATGATGAACATTATTCAATTAGAAAATACGTCGTTAGATGATCACTCGCAGGAACATCTTTCGCATACAACTATTACCACAGACTTATCAACATGTACGTGCATCGCGCATTAATGCACTTTACTTCTCTTGTTGCTAATGAATGAACTCAGCATTGAAAGTTGTGTGTTTGGGAAATATTTAACTGTTGTTACTATGGAGTATCTTTGACCCAGTTGTTTTTTTTTTCAGATTTGGGCTACACAATTTTCCTTATTTGTGCAACAGTTTTTAGTATTGCCATTAAAACATGGATCTTTTCGGTGATTCTTTCGCTGCATCGCTATCTTCGATTTGAGGAGGAATACGGTGAACTTGTATACGCACAGTATGTGAATGGGTGAGCACATAGTTTGTTCTCAAAAAACGATTTACAATAATTCATTGAAACGTTGAATTATTTATGCCACAATTGACGTAATCAATGTTATTGCCATTTTCAAATTGATTCTCAAATGGAGTTGTTCATCGTAATGTACCATTTTACTAGCCGTATTAATTCAACCATTTTTCATTGCTTCCTTCGCTAAAATTTTGTGCTGAACAAAACGTGTGGTTGCTTACAAAAACAGAAAATCTGTTCAGAGGTGTTCGTATAGATACAAACTCGGGCGCATTTTCATATCCGGCCACAGCACCGCCTTTCTCGGCTGATGCTTCAGGTGCGCCACCTCAGTATTTCAATAACACTTTCGACGGTATATTCTTTATTTGGTCGCCGTTGATTCCTTGAATGAATCTCTTGTTAATTTTTCCATTATGTATGCATGAAAATAGCCTTGCTCTTCTTATTCATCTGTATGTCAATTTCAGGTAATAATTACCCAGTATTGCCTTCGTATGAAAGTGCGATGAGCACGACCAAAAATCAACAGTTACGCTCATAAAAGTTGTTTGTGACGACGGTGTGAAGAGAAGCAAAATTCGAATTGATTGATTAAACCTTGATTGATCGTTAAACTTGTACAAAGTTTCAATAAGTTTTTAGTTCCTTGAATCGTGAGCGAGTTCTTCATCAAATTCGATAGGTGCTATACGTGTGTGTAAGATTGCTCGTTTGCCAACTTAGTTCTTTCGGTGTGCAAAAATTTGAGGGTTCACCGGACGAGAAGACGAATTCCCAGAAAAAAAAAAGCGGTTTCCTAGGCATCAGAGGAGTTCCACGGGAGAAACAGGTTTCCAGGAAAACGGGGTGGAGGAAGTTCCTTTGCGTGACATAAAAAAAAAGAGTAATTGCATTATTAACTTCATTGAATAACTCTGAAATGATTACACCAGTTATGCAATAGTGACGATGGCTTCCATTTCATACTAACGTGGTGAATTCACTATTCACTTCATTAATTCCGGTCACGATTCTCCACCCATTGCTTCATACATTTGTTCTCAGAACTCTCAGTCTATCGTCGTTCCGAATCTTAACAAAAGTAACACAATGTCTAGCCTATCAATAGAATTATTGCCTTCTAACAAAATACGCAAGAAATTCTCAACTTCGGTTCTGTCCTATGACTTCTGAAGGTGTTGTTCGTTTTTGAACTATCAATCATTTTTTAGAGTATCGTAATACTGTTGTTGGAAGAGTGAATATTATCACATGATTTTTTTTTGCTTTCAATGAAGCAGCAATTTTTGACATTTACCGATGATTACCAAAACGATTTGACATTATTGGGATTCACTCCGGACAGAAACTTATTTTGTAACGGTTCGGCATTGAAAGGTATTTGACTCTTTCTTTTCAGTTCAGAACTTTCGAATGCTTTGCTCCATTACATTTACAGTGTGTCTCTATTTGGAAGAAAATTCGAGGGAGGTAGTTAATTGTGTTCCTTGCACGGGTGCTAACTGTACTGTTCCAATTCTACTCACCAATTACTGGCTGCAGCTCCCGGAAATAAGAGCGATATGGTCCAAATTCCGGGATTGGCTCTGTTCCACCTCAACAGGTGGTCACGGGCCCAACTTATTTATCTCCCTCGAATATTTTAATCATTTTCTTAATTATTCTATTCGATTGTATAATCGTGAATTACACGTTAAAGACTCTCAGTGCCTATCGTAAATGAATGAATAAATAAATGAATAATGTTTGTGTTAAACTAAAACTGCTACGTTCGTTTTCGTTTCTATAGTAGAAATGTTTTTTATTTCATTCGTGTGAAAAATAAACTGTAACATAAATATGCACCACTGAACGCTGCATAAACAAACTAGGTGAGTTCAATTAGATCATATGATCTGCTCGCCAAACATTCAAATTTGGATGCATTTCACTTGATCTGAAAGAGGCTCATAACCGTGAGCGAGGAAACGATTATGGGAGAGATTGGTAACATTTAAAAATCGAAGTTCTGAAATTCCGTCAAAAAAATAAATACAACCGAAGAACGTCAGAAGTGAAGTGTTTTGTGAAATATTTCGTTTTCTGTTCAAAAGTTGTGATCACTCCTCAATAAAATTTCAACTACAGTATTTGATAGCATCAGTCGTACGTGTCAGTGAGTTGTCTCTCAAATGGTACCGTTTGATAATAACGATCGATACTTTATATACAATAGAATGTAAGTAAAATTGTGATTTCCTCAGTGACAATCGCTTAACGAACTAAAATAAACAGTGGATGAAATGAATAGTGCATTGATGGTAATTTATTATTACTGCACACTTGAGTTTCATAGCAACGATAAAAATTGCTCAAAAAAATACCCACCTCAAACGTGCAAATTTATCATGGTTTCTGTTTGTCTCGATTACGCTTGTTAATGCCGTTTTCTAATCACCTCACAGTATCTTTTCCAGTCACATATTTCTATTCAACAGTCTTTGCCCATTTGCAATTTGCCTAGGCTGTCAATTGCATATTCTTAGTCGACTGATTACAACGTATCAAATTTTTTGCTATGTAACCTCTGGATGTGATGCTTTAATCATTGTTTCATTCAGTAGTGCTATCGGCTACTGTTCATTCGATGACACACGTCCCAATCAACAAAATTCCACTGTTAGTTTTTTCTCTCTCTAACGTGAATCTTTCGTCTGGTTCCTTTCGCTCTCTCATTGAAATTCGTCAAGCCATAAAAGATCTAGAATGTAACGCAGTGTTGTTGTTGTTGTGAACGGATAAAGAATCCGGCCGTCAGATAACCATGCATGTGTGCGTGGGCCTGTGAGTGAGCGGTTTGTTTTATGAAAATAGCAGTAGAATTATGTTATAGCAGTAGCGTTCCGATGAATAGAAGATCTGTTGTTTGGCGGTGATGATGATGATGACGCTTGTGCGATGTGTCATCACGACGCAGTGCGTTGCGGTTGCTTTTAGATCGGTTTGCGTATCAGTTTTTAGCTAACAAACGCTCGCGTAGACGACTAACTGAAATGAATGTGCAGTAGTAGTAGTCTAGTTTAGTAGTGAGTGTCTCAGTGGAATTTCTAATGAACGTTTGTGATGCTAAATGATTCATCCGACCAGCCAGCCGTCTTTCGTCGCATTCTACTCGTATTGCTAATCAGCTTATCTATTGTGTTCTTGTTCGACTAAATCTCTTTGTGCTTTAGTAGTTCGTTATACTCATACAAATATCCTCAGCACTGCTAGCTAGGCAGGCACTCAGAGAGACAGATATGTCCATTGTTAAGATGCCGCAGACGACACATATCCACATGAAAACTATCTGCTGCTGTCGCTGCTGCTGCTGCTATTCGTACAACCTAACGTAAACACTAAACAAATCCACATCTATTTCTATCTTTAAGTCTCAGTTCGTAAGAGCAATCGATCCATCGTACCACTTCCTATCCCTCCTCATTTCTCGTCATTCAACTACCTAACTATTAGAAGTCCTCTCAATAACAGTCAAATTTCAACTCCTCATAATCGTCCTGATACCGATAAACATCATCAATCGCGCCAGCATCCACCAACATCACCACCACCACAATTTCACTCTCCTTCAAACATATCGTTTTTATTTGCTGTTCTGTTTCATGCGTCAACGTTCGTGTTCATTTACGATCTTCTCGCTTAATATGCTTGCTTCCCTTTTCAACCTCCTTTCTCTCACTACTTCAATTTCACATCCATAGAGGACTGATGAAATCACATTTTAGGAACGTTCAGCGCGTGAACAGAAGTGCGTATTTGCAATGTCCAACGTCTAGTTGAGATTTCTGCTTGAAGAAGAGCTGAAAGCATGATCGAAGCAGTAGGGTGATAAGTGTATGTTTTGGTGTTATCTGAAACAATTCAACGATCGTTGCGTGTAGTGACAGTAACAGAAATGCCGGCATGTGTTTATTTGATGTTCATATGAAAGTGATAATGAAGTGGAAGTTGTTATTTTCTCGGTATACAGTTCGTTTATCGTTTGATAAGGAAACAGTCTCATGTAATAATACTTGCTGGTATTTATATTTGTGTATGTGTGGCTTAGACGAACGTTTTTCCTTTTATTTGCTATCTCTTTATCACAATTTTATTTCTCCATGATGAACAATCCGTCGATCACTTTATCTGTTTACCACAAAATATGATCAACTCCTTTTCGTATGAACGAATAGCCGTGGTGTCGTTGTTTCCTTATCAGCACTCCTAGCTTCGTTGCATTCTTCCAGTTTTTATGTAAGTGTACGGTTCAAGTGCCAGATTTTCGATGATATTTCTTCCCAATTTTTGCATTCTTTCGTGACAATACATTGTGTTATCACTGTGATGTTTAGAGATCAAGAAAATATGTGTTTTTGGGGGAAAACGCAAGCTTATGTTGAAAATACATTCTCATGCGAATCAGTGGTCACATGCTTTCTTTGAATCTCCTCGATGAAGCTCGGTTTCAGCTTATTAAAAACAAAAATACATATGTCACCGCAAAACGTACGTATTTTTACAGTAAAAAGACTGGTGAAATCAGCTTCCCTTATTTACATCTCCTCCAGTTTCTGATACAAAACGTTCGTGTTGTGCGTAATTTGCCCGATTCCATTGAAAATGTGGATGAAACAAAATGGGTCGTTGAAAAACAACCATGGTGGTCGAAGCCGATCTATCACGAATATTTCGATAAGCTCTAGGTGCATTCCCAGAAAGCGGGCAATGCGCCTCACTTATAACTGCATACGTACAAACCACTCAGCCATTTTTAAACCCTATGAGCAGCATGTGTGAGGTCAATAAGCAACTGAAACTAGATTCATTCAAACGTATGAGTTGCTTATCTATTATCAAATTGTATAACTGATAATCATCAAAGCAGAGCTTAGCCTGCTTGTCCAGACAATTTCCTACGCAACTCGCCGAAAAAAAAAACGAATTTTTCACATCTATATCAGTTTAACGTGAGATTTTTAACAGTATTGAATGCTTATTACAATGCGTTGTGCAATATTGGTAGCGAATAACAGCTAAAGATCAAAAAAGCGTCTTCGAAGTGCTATAAGAATTGATGTTGTAAGATAGGTGCTGGTCTGTGTGGGTAAATAGCAATTTGTTGGTGTGTGAGTGTACAAGTGCTACGTTATTCTCAATACATACTGCTCTTATAATCGGGTTATTCATTTCGATACAGTAACATCAGTTTTGTCAGATGATTGCCATTCGTAACTATATTTAACTCATTTTTTCATTGATCAAATGAATTCGCCCTCAAACATCCGTCGACAAAATTGAAAGGCGCTCGTCTTGAAGAGTGTATTGCCACTAATCATGTTTTCGTTGTTTTCAGTCTTTGGCAACACTTTGCAATTGTGCTTTTTTAATGGCACAACAATTCGATTGTTGTATTTAACCAGTTTCTGGTATCAGTTCTACGCTGTGTGACATGCATATTTTGATTGCTTGTTTTAAATCATTAAAAGGAATAATAATAATAATAAGAATGATTCATGTCGAATTTCAGGGTTCAATCAATATATTTATCGTGTTTGATTGTTGTATATAATTGTGCATATCAAGTGAAGTGATTGAATCAAGTTCGCACACGACCATTTGAAAGACGTTTAGGTCTTAGTGACTATCGGCGAAATATTCAACGGTCCAGATACGCTTCCGGGTTCGAGCGTATATGGGCTTTAAGTTTGGCGCGACGGCCCAGAAAAATCCATAAAAATTTCGCTAGAAGAAAGCAACGACGGTTCTATACCGCCTATTTACCGCAAGCCTAATTCGGTTTGTTTTGTCTTTCGAATTTAAATTTTTTAAGTGATGTTCCATTTGCATACATCATCACAAAATTCTCGTTTCTGAGAAGTAATGATTCAGCTGACATTAATCCAATACACCATGATTATTTATTTATATTCTGCATCGTTATCATTATTAAAGTATGCTCGAAAAACACGTCGAAAGCTTTCTTAAGACGCTGAAATATGCGCATCATCACTGTTATTTCTAGTTATTATGAAGTGATAAATTTTAAAGATCAATTGAAAGTCATTTTTTAATGCAGGCGCAAGAAGTTTCTGGACTTGCGTTAGATAACACCGACCCAGTTCCGCGACCAGGCAGTGCTCAGATTAAAATCGACGTCAACGCTGAGCCCCCGTGGGATCCAGATCCACAAGCAGACTGATACTTGATCGCTTGGTTGGTTTTCTCACTGTTTTGATCACTCCTACTGTATTTGTCTGGTTTCGTTACGTTCAAAAGATTCAGTTTTCAGTGCGTTAGTTGTATGTGAATTCTTCTCGCCGTTTAAACAAACCAACTTTCAACAATTCAAAATTTGTTCCTCAATCAGCCCCCTCGAGACATCATCGTGCCCCTCGGCATCCACTCGTCTGCCACCTGAATTGCCGTGCAGTTGGACGCACGCTATCCGACTGCAAACACTCGTCATTCGACTCCCACGTCCACCCTAATTCTAAGGTATATTCTCGTTGTGAAAACACTCCTATTCTGGATGCTTGCTTATCATCAGAATTGTGTTCGAGCACATAAGACAGCATAATGATGGTCAGTCGACGGGTTTTGCTTCGAAATCGCACAAGTTTATGCCGATTGAAGCATCCAAAATTGGGAATTATTGAATAATATCTGACTTACGAAAACTCATAGAAACGAAGAGTTGTTAAGGTTTTGTGTGAAAGTTCTTTTTAGTTTTTTAATTGCAAAAATCAAGCCTTCTGAAAAAGTGGTACCTTGAATGTGTCAACACTAATAGATTATTGGTTTCAGGTGTTTCAATTCAATCGCATTTGTACTTTGAGATAGACAGCTACTAAATCATCTGATTATAATGGTGAATGATATGCGATTTAGTGATAATGCTTTCATAAGCTCACATGACATTTCATCGCAAGATCATACTCCATTCATCCGTTCCGAACTGTTTGCCAACACACCGATCACTGTCTTTGCCGATGAACGTGAAGCACTCTCAGTGGCTCGTGATCTTGCTGAAATGAAAACTGCGCAGGTAGAACTGCTTAATTTTGCATTGCACATTCATATCGTTACTGACAACTGATCACACGTTTCAGGGTGATAATTATCCATTTTATGTGATGGATATGGGTCGTTTAGAGAGTTTGCTGCGTTCTTGGCGTGAGCATCTGCCACGTGTTCAACCGTTCTATTCGATACGTTGTAATGCCGATCCAGTGTTACTGCGTCTTCTTGTTGAACAACCTGATATCGGTTTCTATTGCACGAATCGTGCCGAGCTGAATCTGGTACACCAATTCGTCTCAATGAGTGCATCTTTCCTCTGCAAATTACCTACGACGAAATTCATTCTGAAGTGTTTTTGAGACTAGTTTCCATTCGCTTATGAGAATTAGCGATTTGCGTAGCGTTTCTTCAGTAATTGCAAAACTCTAATAATCAAATTGGATAGGCTGTGGAATTGGCTGGTGAGAAACGTGTCGTTTACGCGAATCCGTTATGGACGCGAGGTAACGTCCGTCACGCACGTGAACTAGGTGTTGATATGCTGATATTTGAAAATTACGACGACTTGGTTCGTATGCATTCTCTGCATCCCACAGCCAGGTAAGCAGATTCATTTACGTACAGTTTCATTATTGAGCGAAGATCTGTTCTGCCTGCATTCGAGATGAAGAGAAACAAGGAAATTTTTACAGTTTGGTGTTACGTGTATGCATGAATGCGCCCATTGATGAGCAATTGATTGGTAATGGTTGTAAGTTGAACGAAGAAGCGCATCGACTTCTTTCATTGGCCGCTGATATTGGTGTTAAAGTTGTTGGAATAAGGTTTTTTTTTTAATTTTTCATATTCATTTATCTTATTGTTTCTTGCACTAATCTCTGTAGATCGCATGAAAACGATCCCGTCAAATGTTATTGATTTTATTTTTAGTTTTTCCATTGGTACCGGAGCGTGCTCAGTTGGAATCTATTCCTATGCAATCGCCCAAGCACGTCATCTTTTTGATGTAGCTACGGCAATGGGTCATGAGATGAGCGTACTGGATATCGGTGGTGGTTTCACGTATGCGTCGCATGCACGGGGAGGACCTTCCTTCGAACAGGTTGCTTGAACACTTTTGAATGTGATCTCGATCGATTATATTAGGTGACTGTTTGTAAGTAATGTCGTAACTTATTTTATGATTTAGATAGCAAATACGATCAATGTGTGTCTGGATGAATATTTCGATGAATGTTCATTTGCTCATGTTCGTATAATCGCCGAGCCAGGTCGTTATTTTGCTGCATCGGTGTTCTCGTTGGTTACCAATATCATCAATAAGCGTGCCGTTGATGCCAGTTCGGTCACCAACAACGGTTCGTTTTATGTTTCGTTCTCATTTACATGATTCAGCACCTATACTTTAGTCGGTTCGGTTCATGAATACATACATCTATCATCGCTGTTCGTAATAAATTCATCCACAGCGTTTCACTGAATCGCATTAAAATTCACATGTACATCAACTGATCAAACGACCATCGGCGACTGTACACAGATAATAGAGTAGATGAATATTTGTGAGTCAGTGTAGCTTACTTTCCGATGATAGACTGATTGAATGAACAAATAAATGCGCTATGTTCGTGGCAGGTATCGTCGAATAACTTAGTTTTTCTTTCAGTATACGATAGTGGTAGTGCGGGTTTCGTCTATCAAACGAATGAAGGCTTTTATGGCTCATTTGGTTGTCGCTTAACGTCACATTGTGAGCCGAAATGTCGTCCTTTGATTTATAGCGATAATATTCACGAACTGTCATCATCTACCACTTACGCTACCATTCTTGGTCCAACGCTCAATAATGATATCGATGTTGTACAGTCCGTTGCACGGCTTCCACAAATGCAAGTATGCATTTTTTTTTTACCTCCTCTTACCCTGCCTTGTTTGCTTTTTTTGTTTTGCTATGAGTTGATATGCCAATCCATCGATAGTGTAATATTTCCTCATTACTTTAGAAAATTTTGTTATTTATTTGTGTTTCTGTTCATTACCTTCATGTTATTTCGAATGAAATATTGAATTATAATGAAGGCTACGGTATTTTTTCGTGGAATAGATTTCATTTATTCGTATTTTATGAATGAGCATGTTCAGTGATATGCACTTTTGTATGCTTTTAATAGGTCGGTGAATGGTTATTGTGGGATGATATGGGTGCTTATTCAATGGGAAATCGCGAAACACTCGGCGAGGATAATGGTTACGCCTCTCCAACGGTCTACTATTTTGTTGGGGATAAACGTTGGTGAGTGAGTAGCGCTAATAAGAGTTTTATTTTATTCTCGTTAATAGAATAAAATTGAATTATCAGTTTGAATGAATAATCATTTTATCGCTTATATACCTCGTATTATCCTTAGCCACTAGTTGTAGGAATGCTTTAATGATCAGTTTTGATCATTCACTTTCTGTTATATTTGATTAGAGCTTTACATCAAGGAACGTTTGTGTTCACGTTGACATTGTGTCAATCAGAAATGGTTTATGCATTGCTTTCAGGCAGCATATGTCGAGGCCTTCCACTCCAGAGCGTGCTTCCAATCTTGGAACGGATGGTTGCTCGTCATCATCACAAAAACGTGGCGGCGGCACTGAAACTGAAGTGGATTCGCATTCCTTGGATAGTGCCGAAAGTGTTAGCGCAGTTACAGATGACGAACGCTTATGGACAGATTTTGAGCATTGGTTAAGACAGTGAATGCTGAGGGGTTGAGATCAAATAAATCATTATTTTTATGGAATATTCATTCGTTCTTTTCAATTAGTGATTTGATTTGATTCATTAGTCATTTTCGTTTGTTCCAAAATTTTATGTGTGTGTCTTATTTGCCTTTTTTATTTGAATGTTATTGTTATTCATGTGTTGAATGAATTGGTTTGTTTTTTTGTTTTTTTTTTGAATCGCGGTCATGTGCTGAATTTTCTTTCTTTCACTTTTCTGTCGTAAATAATTTCTGCAAAATTCATCTCAACGAGCATTTTAAAACGATTTGAATATTTATCTCGATAATCTACGCTGATTGTTTTCAACCATAATTATGTGGCTGTGTACAACTTCATGCGAGAATTTCAATATTAATTCCAATTACTCTCGAAAACGGAATGGTTTGTGCATTTTGATGACTTTAGGAATCACCAAATGTGGGGCTCATCACAATCATTTTGTTATCGTTTCGTTTTGTTGCAAGCAAAATTTTCTATCGCTTGCCTGCTGTCATCACGTTTTTTTAAGTGTTTTTCATCTTCTAAATACAATCCGACTTTGCTTGTTATGTCATTATTAATAAAACTAAAATAATTCCATTCTTTTCGACTGCCCTGTTATTTACCATTCATCTTTCTATACAATAGAGTTTTACTGTCATCGATTTGATCATGTCATTGCCGATTTGAAAATGAATTGATCGATTGATGAATGCACTCAATTGATCAGTTCGTTTATCACAGTCATTATCACCATTGGGCTAATTGGCATCAGTAAAACCCATCAATGATTGTTGTTGTTCTTTATGCATTGTGTGGTTTTCTTGTTGTCAGTGTACGGCAATTGGTATTGTTTTTTAATGCGCCTCACGACATGATGAATCTGATGGAAAGAATTATTTGTGTTTGTTAGTGTTTATGCGCATTGTAGCAGCCAGAAGCGTGAAGTGCAGCATTCTGCACTAGAATCTGTTTGATCTGCGTACCAGTATATAGCAACAACTTTGAAAATTGTTTTTAAATTCTTTTCGGTTTCGCTTAATTGATTTATTGCATCCAAAGAGAAAAAGTAGTCATATAAAACAGTGCGACGAACTCCAAATATAGTTGATTTTCATAGGAGTTTTAAGAAATGATTTGAAAAACGGTGACTACATAATCAATAGTGATGGTAAGCGAACGAAATTTGGGTTCAGTCGGAGTCCGAGCGAAAATTTTCGGAATCTGCCGAAGGTTTTAAAACGTAAACCTGAAAGTTTTCAGCAGTCCAGAATTAATCAAAACATCTGTACACAAGCATTTATGTGATGAAGAAAAGCTCGCAATTTTATATTCCAACGGTGTATTTTTATGTATGTGAGGACTACTTTAACGGCTCAAGGCTTAAGTTGTGCAGCATGTTAGTTCAAAAATATCAGGGCTAGCTTAAGAAAACGGAAAGGAACACGCTTTTGAGCGAGTGTGTGAAAAACCGTCGACGGAAATCCACTTAACCGAAGAAGTCTCCTCAGCTGCAACTCTCGTACAACCGCAATTCGTAATTTCTCGACACTTTTAGAGTAATTCTGAAGATGGTATTCCAGTTGAGCGACTTTTTGTCAGCGCTTTTCCACATACTCAAGTCGATACTTTTCTACTCCAGTTGACGGAATTCGATGCTTTTCCACGCACCGAACTGACACTTTCTAGGATACTGGAGAACTTCATTGAACACGTATGAATGAGGGATTTTCAAGCATCAATACTATATGAAATGTGGTCGTTTACTACGGGAAAGGTATCAGCTAGGTTGGGAATTCATTCACAAGCAATTGAAGGAGTAGTAATTATCAGAAATTGAAAAAAGAAATTGATATCATAGAATGCAAATTTTGCAGAAAACACAAAATCTCGATGAAAAATTGTTCTTCATGAAATTGACATTCAATTAAATTAAGAATTACCGACAGCGTTGGTTTGAAAATGATGACTTTGATACTCTTAAAGTCATGTCCAGATTGATCAAGAGCTGCTCGAGATACCTTCAAAAAAAAAATCAGCTGTTTCTCCGAATGTAATCAGAATCAACCGACAACATATATTTTTCAGGAACTAGAGATTCTGAGGAATCCGAAAGTTTGAAGAAACATCCATGTTATTGAGCAATCCTGAGGAAAGCTTTAGTTTGAAATTGGTAACCCTGATAGTTCTAAAGTAATATCCAGATTGATTAAGAGCTATTTGAGATACCTTTAGAAAATCAGCTTTTTCTCTGAATGCAACGAAAATCTTCCGACAACACATACAGTTTTCTGAAATTAGAGTATCTGGAAAATCGGTTGGTGTCACTAAGCCGTCATGCTCCCAGGCAATGCTTAGGATAACACTGATGCTGTTTATGCTGACCAGTTGTGCAAATTGGTCAATGCAGATGATATGTACTGAAGCGGCTCAGATATATGGGTCGGCTACAGAATATCGCTATTATTACATTCCGACTACGTATATTCCTTCTCGAAACTAGAGAATCTGATAGTCCGATTGGTATTATCAGGGTTACTATCTTCAAGCTACGCACTCCTGTCCTTTTCTAGATAGCACGAGATTTTTTGACACTATCGGACTGTAAAAAATCTATGGTTTCGGAAAGGTATGGTGATATCTTCCGGTGATATCTCCTCCTCAGGTTTAATGTTTAGGCGAGGATTCTGATGTCTTAAATGGTAGCATTGGTCAGTGTTAAGGTTTATTCAGGTGTTGTTTGCACTTGATGCCATTCAGATGGGATTATATTCACCGATGTCGAATAATTTCTTGAAAGACTTCATGATTCATTCGACTTTCCTCAATTTATAGCAGGGAATTAGGAATTCTTTTTGCTGCTTTTACGTGACATATATCATCGTCGTGTACGATCTTCCCATCCAAGCATATTTCAGTGTCACGACTATTGAGTCGTGAGGTAGTTTCGAGTAATTGAAAATGATATTTCAAATATTAGAATGAATGATATTTCAAATATTAGAATGACCAATTTGCATAAATGGTTAGCATAACAATATCAATAGTTTGATTGACAGTAGATTGTCTACGCGATGAGCCATTAGGTATCATATGGCAACCTATCCCGCAAAGAATCAATGAAAAAATATTCAGAGGGATAGTTTGATAAGATAAAAGTGATTGTCATTTCGAACTTAAAAGAATTAAGAGTAACAGGCGACGATTAGGAATAAATCTGACATATGTGAGATACCTTCTCTCTCATTTATTTTGCATTGATTCGTTAGTGAGTGTACTGATTAGTGTTCCTATTGATGATTCTCGTACGTGATTTACGTTATTATTTGTGTAAATGGTTTAGTTACCCAAGTTTAAGTTTGAGGTAATTCGTGCGAATAAAAGATTGAAACGAAAGTCTCAATCTTAACATGATGACACGAGCCGGGATCGAATCACAAAGCCGATAGACGAGCAGTTATCTACGACGAGCAGTGCCCGTGAGACGAATCATGAAACCGCGAGACGATCGGTGCCCGAATAACCAGCAATCAGTGCAAGAATTCAGCATTACAAATGCACCAATATATTATCTGATCCACAGTACAATCAGGTCGTATTAATTGGCGTTCCATTACTATTGCCACTTAATTGCTGTCATCATTAATCATTGTCACGTACTGTTATTCAAGCACTGTCATCATTTAATTATTGCCAACTATTGCTATTCAATAGTTGTTATCATTTAATTACTGTCACTTGCTGCTATTTGATTACTGTCATCCAGACCTAACCAACATGACGTCAGCGGTCATCCGAGGCACAATAAACAGAAACCGCGGTCGGCTCGAGAAACTGCTTGAAGAGCTCTCTCACTTGGCCAATGATTTTCCGAAATGGTTGCAAACACTGAATGTGTGTTACAACAACTCACTCAACTGGGTGAGAACATAAACAATGCGCAAACGGAACTCTGTATTGAGAACAGATTTCCGCCATGGGCTCGGCTTGAAATTGAACAAGTTAAAGAAGTGGCTGAGACATGCTCAGTAAAAATGCTGCTTACGTGATAAGCTAGCAGCAATGGTACGTGTACGAGAAAACGCGCGTGTACACCCTCTAAATAAATTTGCAGATGAGACAAAACCTTCAAATGCACGTGGTGACATTAATACCACAGCACTCTCATACTTCATCTCCTCAATATGATCCAATGTCAGTACAACGGTCATCGGCAATGCATACCATGACTACATCTCAAACACAAAGGACAACAACGAATAAACCCACAACAGACAGATTCAGAAAGCCATGTTGCGCATTCTGCAACCAAGAACATTGGCCGAATAGCTGTCAGAAATTCGACAATCCTGAGTTTCGTTACAATCGCGCACGACAACTCCAAATTTGTTTTTGGTGTTTAAAGAGTGAACACAGCAGCACTGACTATGTCAAAATAGGAGTTATATGTTATCACTGCAAGAAAGACTCCCATAACTCGGCCTTCTGCAGAACCAGAAAAGAAAACATGCGACGCCATAAATACAGACAAACGTTAGCACCACCCAAATAAGTGACAGTGCTAACGAAACCACTCAATCTGTAACCTTAACTACCAACATCCAAAATCCATCGCAACACAATGTTCTTCTCATGTGCAAAAACACTGAAATTGTCAACAAACGCAATAGTAACAGTAAATGCGTGCCAGTCATGTTTGACGTGGGCAGTGAGCGCACATTCATCACGAAGGACTTGATCAAATCGCTCAAAATACAACCGACATCAAAGGAACATTTGTCGATACTCGGTATCGGCAAAACGCCGGTATTCAACTTCCAATCTGATAATGTTGAATTCGCCTTAAGAAAAAAGAATGGGACTCTAATTACAATACACACAAGCAACGTGCCCTCGCTAACAAGCAAAGTGCGTATGTGTAAAATTTACAAAGTGGATTCCACTTAATCAGAACCGAATTCAGCGACATAATAAGCGGGAATGGCTGCGTATATATCGAAACGGATAGCGAAAACATAAATTCTGTACGTTGCAACGTGATGGCAAATAACGAATTAGAAAATTTCTGGAGCTTGGAAACTCTGGGAATAACGGATCCACCGAATAATTTCATCAAGTGCAACTGGAAGCAGAGTGAGTTTCAATGAAAATTTCAACAGAGGAAGCGTTCCAGCTATGAAGAGATGCGAACTATGCGGAGGTCGACATTTTCCAGATGAATGCATATAACATTCATGAAGTGACGACGGTCAGAAAACAAAGAATACGGGAATTAGGATTGTGTGCACACTGTCTCACAATCAGCCATCGAAAGCCATGTTACTATTTCAAGGGCGATCATCATTCCGCGCTTTGTGCATTACAAAATGATCTATACTATGGCAGCTGGAGGGCAAATGCCAATCGAGTTCATTGAAACAACCAAGGAACAAATTCAATCAAATATCGCGCAGGAGAAACTTCTCTTACGCATTACTTGTGGTCGTTCGAGGTACTATATTATTATTATTATTATTATTGTTA